GACTTCTAGGAATAAAATACTACCATTTCTTTCCTCCTTGTTGATGACATTTACTGCAGGGTAGATGTCTTTAAATTTGTCAAGGATGTTTCTTGCTTCATTTTCATTTCTCACAACCGAAAACGCACTATCCATATATCTACAGTAGGATTCCAATCCATTAATTACTGCTTTCATCAGTGATCTAATCTCTAAATTCGTGAGGAGAAACTTAGCTGGGACTGGTGCTAGTGGTGAACTGATAGCCACACTATCAGTCTGTCTATGGAGTTCCTTATTGATCAAGAAATGAATATTTATGTGTTGGTTTGTAGGGATTTGATTGGTTACAGGATTTTCATCATAAGCTGACATTAGTTAGAGAACCATTGGAAAACCTGGGAGTACTGGACAGCTGTTTCCGTAGTCCTAGTTTGGGGCTCTTCATCAGTACTCACTCACCGGGATTCGAACCCAGGACCTACTGGTTACAAGGCGAGCTCGTATACCATTAAGTGGGTGGGTGCGTACTGTGATGAGTCCCAAACTAGGACGAAACAGCTGTCCAGTACTCCCAGGTTTTCCTATGGTTCTCTAACTAATGTCAGCTCATGATGAAAATCCTGAAATGAATATTTATTGTACAGCTTTAAAAAAGTCCCTTCAGGATACAGGAATGCTGACGTTGATATTTCGCCCAATAATTTCTTCACATATAAAATCCAGTGTTTCAGTCAGTGGTACATTAGTAAATAAATCAGATTGTTGAATTAATTTTCATAATTAATTGTCACCTTCGTGATACTGATTCATTACTGTTAACAAACTTATCATCAATAGATTGATAAATTTGTGTATCGCATATATATATATATATATATATATATTAGAGTAGAGCCATTGATGAGGATTTAATCGAAAAGTACATAATTTTTAGCTCAATCCTTGTTACACTGCTGTGTAGTACCATCGCTGACAAATACCATCAGTTAATGCCTGTTTTATTTCAGGACTGATAGACTGTACATAGACGTTAACCACTTATCTGAGAAAGTCCTAGTGTTTCTTAGGAAGGGACCAATATTCATTTTTAGTCCTGTTCTTTTTTTTCCTTCACGTTCCCTAGTGGAATATAGGGCTTCAAGCTAGAGGCTTGAAGTTTCTGTAGCAGTGTTTATTTTTACAGGACGGGGTTGCTAACCCCATGCCCAACCTTTCCTCTTTACCAGCTTTATTTCTAGCTTAGCGAGTTAAAGGAGTACGTCGGTTGGGGGTCGAACCCCCGATCATGTGTATGGTCGGCGAGAGTCCTAACCGCTATGCCGCCGACGCACTGTCGGTGGCTGTGAAGACTTCAGTGCTTGGAGTGGAGTTCGAATGTGTGACCCACATGTTGAAAGTAGTGCACGGAGACCAATGAGCTACAACTTCTAAAAACACTAATATCAGTAGTATTATCTATTCCTTGCGTTCTGAATGAAACATAGGGGTTCGACAGCACATTTCCTTCGCAAACTGTTCTCTGAAGTCCCACTTTCAGTTAGCTTCAATACTAGATGGTCGCAGGCAATCGACAGGAAGCCTTGAACCTAGGTTTCGTGATTCTTGGCACTCGTCTGCAAGGCATATCTGCAACCTTGAAGGAACTCGTATCCCTTCTGAGATTCGTACTCGCGTTACCCAGTGCTGCAGTCAGAGACGTCACCACTGGGCTATTCAGGCTCGCGACTGACCTCTTGTAGGACTGTATTGGCTATTTTCGATTCAATAGTAGTCAGTAACTAGTGTAATGTGTCTAATCCTATCCGTGGTGCAGACTGAATTCTATTAGTCGAGTTTGCAGTTGGCTCGCCATCAGGGTGCACTGTGAATTGTTGGTGTTCGATGGTTTGAGGCCATCGGCAGGAAGCCTTGAACCTAGGTTTCGTGGTAGTTGGTGACCACATTGCAAACTTTACTGATAGAATTCAGTCTGCACCAAAGATAGGATTAGACACATTACGCTAGCTACTGACTATTGGCCAATCAAAAATGGCTTCACTACTGTCCAAAAGTTTTCGTTTCCTTTCTACATGACCTTCTCCGTATCATTCCATGAAAACCAAGTCATCGTATCTAGTTCAGGCAAATTAGTTAAGACGCCACACTTATCATTCAGACTCCAGTCCTGTTCTATACACAATCTTTTACTAGAGGGACAGACCCACCGCAACGCATTCGATTAATAACTTAGAAGAAACTGGATATCGCCATAAGTCCTAACAAACCTCGTTTCTGACCTCTTTCTGCTTTATTTCCCCAACCTTCCCTAAAGTCAATCCTTTCATCAAGTTTTGATTTGTTGGGAGCTTTTGAGACAGCACTGGCCACACTGTCTTTTTATTCGTAGTATTAATATCAACAGGAAGAAAAGGACCACTTAAATAACGTATACACTTCTGAATTATAAATAGTTCACCTTCATGGTGAGCAGTTCCCACTAAAGAAAACAAGGGTTAAATAAATTCTAAATTTTGATCGCAGCTTTTTGTGACAACCGTCAACTTCCTTGTCTGCTGACGACGTGTATAACGTGACCTAAACTTTATCAGAAAGGATTCGCAATTTTCATAACATTACTTCTTTTTTATCCAGTTTTGTTTACTTTTTACTGTGTCACAGACAATGCTGATCTCTATAACCTATAGATTCACTTTATAAACTAAGCATACATGGACTTAATTTACTGAGCAGCTAGAGGACATTGGGCAGTTAGATTACTTGAACTTAGAAATCCACCTAAACCTAGAACGACTGATCCTTCTCGGCCACTGCAATGCCTTCACTTTCATATAATTACACATTAGGGTGGGACGGGGTGAAAATATTAAAATGCAGTATAGATAGGTGAAGAGAAAGCTTAATCACTGTATCTTTGTTGACTGAATGAATCATCACCTAACACGTACGGTCGAAATGATGCAATGTCAATACCAGACATGGAAAATTACAATTACTAACATGGGGGAGTGAAAAAAGGTATAAAACGCCGAATGAATACACTGATATGATCAGCAGCAATCAGTTGTTGTCTAAGGGTAACCTAGTAAATAATACTGTCTCACTGTTTACAGGATTTCATCATGAGCTGACGTTGGTTAGAGAACCATTGGAAAACCTAGGAGTACTGGACAGCTATTTCGTCCTAGTTTGGGACTCTTCATCAGTACGCACCCACCAGCAGGGTTCGAACCCAGGACCTTCTGGTTACAAGGCTAGTGAGGTCTTAGACCATTAAGCCACTGGGACCCGATCCAATGACCCATGAATTCTAACTTCTGTCAATTCACGATATAGCGCAACTGCTAGCCGATGTCTTCGGCGAGTATTTGTCCTCACACCCGACTTGCTGCACCCTACTGGTCATGACTTTCCACTGGAACCCCAGGTAACTACCTACCTGAATAGGGTCAGTCGCCAGTGAGCATCTCATTCATAGTCAAGTATTGGTTTGTAGGGATTTGGTTGATTGGTTACAGGATTTCATCATGAGCTGACATTGGTTGCGCTATATCGTGAATTGGCAGAAGTTAGAATTCATGGGTCATTGGATCGGGTCCCAGTGGCTTTATGGTATACGAGTTCGCCTTGTAACCAGAAGGTCATGGGTTCGAACCCTGTCGGTGGGTGAGTACTGCTGAAGAGCCCCAAACTAGGACGAAACAGCTGTCCAGTACTCCCAGGTTTTCCAATGGTTCTCTAACCAACGTCAGCTCATGATGAAATCCTGTCACCAATCAATCAAATACCTACAAACCAATACTTGAATGCTGTCTCATTGTGTTGTATCAAATAAACCTTTCTAATATGGAACAATCGACTGGCTTCATTCATCAGTTTATGAGAACAGCTATGCAAAACCGACTTAGTTTTTTTAAAATTCGGATTGTGATATAAGAAGATGGAGATTATCTGAAAACCGTGGTGTATTTGCACAATACACTTCAAACTGTGTGATCATACATTTACTTGTCAACCCAATTTATATGAAAAATAAAGGCATAAAGGGACAAATGATTTAAGAGTAACAGTAATTGTCACTACGTTTGGTTATATAATCAGACAAGGATAACCAAGGTAGGTTAGGAGTAATAATAATTTGTTCTTGTGCACACAGGGTGCTTAACTTTAGAGATAGCTATCGCCTCTGCATATTTCAATAAATGCTCTTTACTGTTTTTGTAAATAACCTTAAAATCTGTTTTAATATCAACCTTGTAATTCATATTGATTAATTGTTTAGCTATAGACGAAGTTGGTGGTCTATCACCTGCGTCTATCACAGTTTCGACAGCTCATCTGTTTTTCTAACCATTGGGGTATTTGTTCTCCTATCCATACAAGCAAAGCACGACTACTCCTCCCTATTTATGCATATTGATGGTATATTAATTCCGTAATACAGGTCGGAAACAAATAAAACATTTTGACCTCAACTCATTTCAAAACACTAAATGAATTAGGTGCGTCGGTGGCATAGCGGTTAGGACGCTCGCCGACCAAACACATGGTCCGGGGTTCGATCCCCGACCGACGCACTCCTTTACCTCGATAAGCCAGAAATAATACTGGTGAGGAGGAAAGGTTGGGCATGAGGCTGGCAACCCCGTCCTGTAAAAATAAACATTGCTACAGAAACTTCAAGCCACAAGCTTGAAGCCCTATGTTCCATTGGGAACGTGAAGGAATAAGAAAAAGGCAATGAATTTTGTAAGTCGTCTTTGAAAGATACGTGTGAAATTGTTGACTATCTTGTAAATATGAATATAAACGACGTGAAAATTTACTCTTTTGTTGTTAATTCCTTGTTTACTAATGTATCATTCATTATGGCTGCTGATATTCTTTGTGATTACATATCATCTAGTTGTCTTTCATTCTCTACTCCCCCAACTTATCTGAAAGAGTTACAATGTGTTTAGAAAAGCGGACAGAAGTAATTAGTTTAGCTTTTGTATATTTTGTATTTTTAAAAAACAGTCAATTTCTTTCGACTACTATTAATAAAATAAGTAGTTAAATGTGATTATAATTAGAAAGTAGCCAATTTCTAACAGCATATTGATGTGATTTCTTCACAGAAAATGTAACATAATTCGGCAACTTTTGAAATGATACAGATTCGTCTATCTTCCTTACTGGTTTATTCTCATCTTGTGCCTGATCCTGAAGAACCTCCATCTTAGGGATATCACATTCATCTGGTTTAATACAAGGTGCCGTCGAATCACCGATTTTCTCGTCATTCACTTTCAAATTATTAGTTTGTGACAGAAGTATCTGAAGATTGTCCAGCTTATTTTGAACTTCAGCCATCTCGTCACTGTCAAGACTTGATACGGAAAGAGGAGAGTTTCTTTTTGAATTGGCAGAACTTTTTTGTCGTGAATTATTAGTCCTCTTTCTGTTAGGATAAAATGTAACAGAATCGAATGCAGGGTGAAACTGTATTCCCTATTTTGTCTCAAAAATGTAAACACACAGTGATTGTGGCTGTTTTCTCTGTGGCGGCAAATAGCACGGTCATATATCCCAGTTATATAGTTGTACAACACCAATCTCCAACAAAAAGAGCAATACATGCTAAAATAACACATAATTCACGACAAATAGTAAGGGCTAATTTTGTCTGTCCACTACAGTTAATTAGGGAGCCATTCACCATTGTGTTAAGAAATAAAACGTGTTCACAGTTTACTGCTATCAGTGTTAGTAAGTCTAGTTTCATCCGATAGGTAGTGGTTGAGAAGTAGACTGATCTGATGACAGTTCTAAAAATTACTTGAAAGTAGCTTTAGAGCTCTTAAAAGCCAGAATATACTGAACTGACTGCTTTACATAGAATCTCTATTCTAGCTATGTAGAAAAAGTGACACGACGTTTATTCTAGAAACATTAAGATAAACTAATGAGAGGTTCTGTATCCAAGTATCCAATTCTGAATATTACTGTTTGGATACTAGGTGTCTGATATTTCATTTTCTACAGATTCTAGTTTGCATGAATCTGTAAAAGTGAGCCTACAAACGTAAAGCTAGAACAATAACTGGTCGATTATTTGAAGGTGAACTAAGACAAATACGATCACCAGTAATACCCTTTCCAATTTTCTCCTTAGATTATTTCTACTGTTATTCACTTTTTCGTTATAATAATTTTGTCTGAGCTAAATTACTGGACGCGACATAAACTCACTTGCAACCTCTCTGGCTACAGCTCTGGAGGGAGTGGTTTGAACATCACGGGAGATATTAGTCCATTAAAGGTCACAAAGCGTCCTAATGAAGAATAATAAGAAGCAAGAAACCCAAGAGTAGAACTTCCTACGGATTGCCGTCAATCTCGTTTCCATTCATCGTGTTCCAAGTGGAACATATGACTTCAAGCTTTAAAATCTCAATGGCGCTGATGCAGCTTTTACGAGGTGCAGTTACTGGCCTAACAGATTTATTGTCGGTGAGGTCTAGAAGTGCGTCGCTTGGCAATCGAACCAGGGAATACATGCGTGGCTGGCATTGAAACATCGATGTCACCAACTACCTAATACTAACTCAAAGTACATTACAGTGGTTAGTCACCTAACTTGGTTACATTATATAGGTTACACATTAGTGGCAAATCGATTCACCTTTCTCTCAACTAGTCGTGATGTGCCCAGTTTCTTAGGGATTCAGTAACCAGAAATGTACATCCAGTAAATTAAGTAGATAAGTGTTGTCAAAGTAGGTAAATTGCAAGCATAAACTGGTTTTGAACATATACTCAGGGAAGGCTTAAGCTTGCCGATGGCGAACACTACATCGAGTCCCATTATTTAAATCTCACTATTTCCATATTACAACTTAAAATCTGTTGTGGAGGGTTGCCTGTCACCATGCACCAAATGCAAGAATTCAGCTGGTTAGCACGCCCTTCAATAGGTGTTCTCAAAATCTTATCTGCTCGTCCCCATGTATCCAGGTAAATAAGTGTGCAATCTAAGGAAATGATGCAATCATTAACTCACTATTAAGGTTTGATGTGAATCGTATATTTCGTTCTCAGAATACTAGTATAGGGACTATATTGACTGGTCACTGAAGAGTAACACCAATGTTGTGTTATTTACTTCGTGGTGCTGACTGAATTTTATCAATCAATTTGCAGTGTAATAACCAGTCTCGAACATCTTCCTGACCACAACACTGGATGACACAGGTTGGAATCACTTTAAGAGGATATCAGTTCATTCAAGGATCCAACTACACTTTAATGACTAGTCCCAATAGGCACTTAACCTATATGAGGATATTACTGCAGATTGGTTACAGCCCCTTACAGCTGATTACTTACTGATAACAGTAATAATGATAACAACTCTTTCGTATAATTTGGGTGGAAAAGGGAGGGAGAGATAACAGACGGAATATTAGTTCTCATTAAGGCTAAATATGTAAATTCACTATCGAGTCATACGTCTTTTAAAATTTTGACAGTAATCGATAAAAAGTCGATTCTAATTACTGACTGATAGAACTCAGTCCGCACTGAAGAAAAAACTAGACACATTATACTAGTTACTAGCTAGCTAGTGTCCAATCAAAATATCCAATACAGTCCTACAGGAGGTCAATTTAAAGCCCGAATAGTTCAATGGTAACGCCTCTGACTGCAGCATTGGGTGACGTCAGTTCGAATCTCAGAAGGGACATGAATTCTTTCAAGTTTTCAGGCACTCCCTGATGATGAGTGCCAACTAGCACAAAACCTAAGTCCAAGGCTTCCTGCTGATTGCGTGAAATCACCTAATATCAACAGTTTTACAGTACACCATGATGAAGAGCCACGTAACACGTAGGCCACACTGCAAACTTGAGTGAAAGAATTCAGTCTGCACCAAACAGGTATATATATATATATATATACACTAGTCATTAACTTTTGTAATATGCCTACACACCTGTTTGGTGCAGACTGAATTCTTTCACTCAAGTTTGCAGTGTGGCCTACGTGTTAGGTGGCTTGTCATCATGGTGTACTGTAAAACTGTTGATATTAGGTGATTTCACGCAATCAGTAGGAAGCCTTGGACTTATATATATATAGTCTTATATAAACGCACTGTAAGTGAATAAATTCAGAATAGTCGACAAAAAAAGCTTAATCTATACAAACAAAACGAACAAAATCAAACAGTATTGAGCCATAAAATTTCCAGCCAATTAATTTTCTTCTTAAAGTGTTTTTACGAGTTGATCACGGAGTGATTTCAGCTAGAGAACCATTGGAAAACCAGGGAGTACTGGACAGCTGTTTTATCCTAGTTTGAGAATCATTGGAAGTACGCACCCACTGCTAGGGTTAGAACCCGGGACCTTCCGGTTTCAAGGAAAGCTCGAATACCATTCAGCCACTGGGACCCAATTCAGTGGCTCATGAATTCTAACTTCTACCCATCCGTGATTTCGCGAGACCAAGTTATTTACACAAATCGGAAGTCAAATATATGCACGTACTTTCAAACACTAAGTGAAGTGTCATATCAAAACATGAAGGAGATTCAAGGATTCCAGATGATGGAAGAAGCGAAAGTTTAGATAGAGTACGCACTCATTTTTCGATTAATCTGTTCTGCTTAGAATGTAGTTGGGTCAATAATAAATACTGTATTAGAGAGAGATTTTACTACATAATTTAAACATGGAATAAAGTTGAAGTCACTTGGTTATGGGATTTGAAAAGCGTATATCAGCTTTCCTGGAAGTCATTGGCTCGATGTAAATAAGCCTCATAGTTTATTGATGGTGCTTGCATTAAGAAACCATTGAGAAATATCCATCAAGAAAGAATTCAAACTACTTCGATGTTTCTTTTAGTTTACAAACTGCAATTTAATGCGAATAAGTTAACCCAGCTTTTGGGGTTTATAGGAATTCTGATTAACTACAGGGTAGGTTTTGTTACGGATCGACATCAGGTGGAGAATCACAGCAGACTAGGGAGCACTGGATAGCTTTAGGAGTGAGTATTTGCTAACCCACTAGAGAGGTTGCGACTGATGGACTCCAGCGTGTAGAGTGTGAGATGAATGCTCAAATACCTCATTAGCTGACAGAAATTGGAGTTTTTGAGGTCGAAATGGTTGACAGGTTTGACTATTGTCCTGAAATCTTGGGTTCGAGGTCTGGGTGCTTACTAATGAAGAGTGACAAACCAGGATGAAACAGATTTCTAATGCTTGTTACTTACTTCTGAAAAAAGATTTTGATCAGTTCAAAGATTCAGTCGTCGACAGCTGCTACAAGTACATTCGTACACGACCGAGACACCGTTATCTGCTGAACAAGGAACACAGAAGACAACTTAAACAACTTCAAGGAAATAAAGACGTGATCCTTGTCCTTCCTGATGAATGCAATGGGATTGTGGTTATTAGTAGATCCGACTATAATAAGAAATTGACAAACACACCAGCAGACAGTACCAAATTCCTCAAAAAACCCAACCAGAAAGACATAACTGAAAGAACAGAAAACCTCCTTACGAAATTGTTGAAGAGAATGAAAGAAGATTCAGTCATAACATCGGAGGTATATGCAGTTCAACTATTCCAAGACTGTATGGACTGCCTAAAGTGCATAAGGAGAATGTTCCACTTCAACCTATCATAGATATGGTCAACTCACCATATCATCAGATTGCAAAATGGCTAGCTGATATCCTTGAACCAGTAAGAAGACATATGACAAAATATAGCCTTAGTGATACATTTGATTTCATCGACTCAGTGAAAGATATCAACGTATTTGAAAGACAAATGCTTTCACTAGATGTCACCTCTCTGTTCACAAGCATCCTCCTGACCGAAAAAATATGGTTCATTTGTGACAACATTGAAACCAACAAACAACCTAGAAGTTCTTCTTCCCATCAACCACCTGAAGGAACTACTTCTCAGATGTCCGTTTAATATCCAATTCAAATTCAATGAACAATTCTATGTACAGAAAGATGATGTAGCTATGGGGTCTCCTCTCTGTCCATTCTTAACCAACTGCTTCATGGCGAGTCTCACAAACAACATGCTCGATCCTCTGATCACTCAAATGCACTTAGATGGGAGATACGTAGATGATTCGTTCATAATTTGTGATGAAAAAGTTTATTTTGAGTACCTCCTCAAAACTTTCAACGCAGCACACACATCATTAAAATTCACCTCTGAACGTGAGTTGAACATGGCATTTCCATTCCTCGATGTACTATTTACCAGAAGACAAGACTGTACGATCCGAAGATCAATATGTCGCAAGCCAACATGGATAGGACAGTTTATCAACTTCCAGAACTTCGTCCCACTAATCCGAAAGCAAAACCTGATACGTACATTAAGTTCAAGGGTTAGAAAAATCTGTTCGGAAGACGTGACAGAGAAAGGATTAAATTTATCACTAGAAAGGGTATCCACCAAGATTCATAGACAGAAATCTGGAACAGGAGTCTCCGTCACCGAAAATCCCAACTGTTCCTAAGAAAACTCTCTTCATGAAGCTGGAATTCAGAGGTGACATCGCAGCAGAAATGTCTGAAAAAGACATTTCAAGCAGCCAGCTTACGTATCACATTTTCAAGCAGACAGTTAATCTAGTCTAACATTAAGGATAAGATACCGCCTTTGACCACTTTAATGTGTGCGTTGGTGGCACAGGGGTTAGGACCCTCGCCGACCATGCAAATGGTCCGGAGTTCGATTCCCTGACGACGCACACTTGGTATCAATTGGTCGGTCTGCAAAATTTGGGTTACCGATATCAAATGTTAAAAATTCCATACCTGTATACGGTGTGGAATCAAGCTATGAAAAAAAAATGTACTTGCTCGTGCGGAGCAAAGTATATCTGCTGTATGCAAAGTCAAGTCCACAAACCTATTCTGGAACGTTGTCCAGCTTAATTAGCCAGAGGAGAAGAGAAGAATAGCATCGTGTCGTCTCCAGACATCAAGCAACCCGCATGGACGCTTCACAATGTTATACAGGGTCCCTTAATATCGTACAAAGTGACTTCGCATACGCTATGTGTACATAGCTGAAGCATTAGCTATTCGGGATATGAAACCGGACCTCTGCATTCAAAAGTGATACATACATTCACTCGCCCTACCGTGGCCAGAGTAAAGTTCTTACTATAATTTTGCTTCTTCTTTCTGTTATGTAGGTTCACTATTATTATTGTTATTACCACTATTATTTTATTATGATTATAATTCCTATAATCCATATTTTATTACCACTCTATTACTGTTTATTAATAACATTGCTTTTTCATATAGATTTTATATAAAAACACTTTATCGCCTTTCCACTAGTTCCTGTATATTCTACATGAGCTTACTGATTAGTCATTATCTCACACTTATTACGTCACACCAACTTTTGCTTCTTTTCTAACTTCCACTTAGTCATCTCTTCTAGGTTGCACCTTACTTTGCGTAATACATTTTTCGAGGACAAATTTTACCAGTATTCTGAATAGTCTAATGATTTCTTTGTTAGATAATAATAACGATTGTACAGCTTATGAAAATGAATCGTCGAAAAGGGAAAATTTTCTTCGCTGTTTACGTCTTTTTCTTATTTCTAATGCTCCTTGGTTTTTTATGGCTCATTAACTGATATAGGCGTTTCCTGACGAAGTGTTCATTGAGAATAAATAAGTTGCAAAGAAACATTCAACCATCATTTTAAACTACTCACCTTTTAGTAGAAGAATTATGCGATACATGACGTTTGTTTACATCTACTGCAGACCCACTATGTGGAGAAGGATTATCTCCAGATCTTGTACACCTCTTATCATACGAATTACTGTGATATTTTCGAAACTGTCTCAGGTATTTGGATCTACTCAGTAGTGTTGGCTGTTGGGGTTCATCCCAACGATATGACTTCCGATTAACAGCTCTATGAAGAAATAAAAATTTAAAACAAAATAAGGAGATTAGTCCGCCTGGAAATATGTTTCAGTCTGAAGTATGCTCTGAAGATGTTGTGCAATATGACAATAAAAGCTTCGCAACTAAATCATGCAGTTCAGAGAAAACAACTACACCAGTATCGCGTATATGAACTGTGATTAAGATTTAACCGAACACTTCCACAATAATTGGGCGCTGAGTGAGAAGTAGACATAATTACCCTAAAGACTTTAATGAAAGACATTAAAAAAGTGAAGATAGGGGTGCATTAAGAGCTGCTGTTAAGAATTTGGTTAGTAGCGTGGTGATTCCAAATCGTATGAAATACAGCGAATTCTTAACAGCCATGAGAGAGCACTTTCATGCAACGAACACATTACGCTCACCACTAGTGAAGGTTAAGGAGAAAATAGAAGAAGACATCCAACAAAATTGTGTGTGCCAGATAGACGGGGATAGCGATGCTTTATATGTAGGAGAAACTTCCAGACAAGTAACTCTAAGAGTAGAATGTCATAAATATTGCCCAAAGGTAATCTCGAAGAACTCTGCAGATCTGAAGAAGCTAGAAAAAAGATTGGCGACTGCACTACACTCCATAGAAACGCGACATAAGATCGACTTTGATAGGACCAAGGTCCTGAAGAAAGGTTTTTGTTCATATAAAGAAAGACTGATTGAAGACACCCCATATATATATGTATATATAGAAGGAGGAGGGCAAGAAAACAGTCACAATACCATACAAAAAAGGCACATCAGAGGCAATTCGAAGAAACCTCAAAAATATTGGGATTCGCGCCACGTTTAAACTGACGAATCTAATTAAAAAAGAGATAAATCAACTGAACGGTCTAATAAAAATCATAGATAAAAACAATATTATCTACAAACAGATATCTTCTGCCGAGTGTCCGACTAAATATGTGGGTCAAACGTCCAGTTCACTTAAAATAAGAGTGAACGAACATAAACGCCTAACTAAAGGTCAACCAAGAGGAACACAAGCTCACAACAATTTAGAAAAAATTCATCTATAGCTGCGCATGCAGGGGACAAAAATCACAATATCGATTGGAACAATGTTTGTATTCTGAAATCCAATATGAAAAAATGGAGAGAGAGATTTATTACAGAATTTATATTCCTTAAAGTCACACATGTAACAAGTCATACATGTAACAAGGGTGATTCAGCACAACTGTCAACGACCTGGAATACAATTATGAATACACAAAAATGAATGAACAAAAAAATGAACGATATATATATATATATATATATTGATTTCCCTGAAGACGTTCGGATTAGCTTTCCGAATGAAACGTTGGAATTATTTGTTTCAGTTCCGTTGAGATTTTCTAAAATATAATTTTTACATATGTCTACATCAAAATCATTTCATCTGTCTTCTACTTCAGCTTAACGCTAGACGTTGTTTGGAGTGTTGTAGTGGTTTCCCTGTATTTCTAGCACGTGAATACTAACGAAAATGACTGTAAGAGGTAATATAGATCACAAGGCTGAATAATACGAAGTGAAACTGACTAAACGCTGCCCTTTTAATACAGTAGTGTCACCATCCAATGTCTACAACCCAGCTCTCCAGTGCTCTCCTTCCCCGGATCTCAGTTAGCTCAGTTATTCAAATTATATAGAAAATAAATAGTGCCAACTGAATAGAATCAATAATGTAATGAATTGTCTCCACGAAGTTCAGTAACACTACGTCTTAATTAGCATGATCATCTCTGGTTAAGATCCTATAAGGGAAAACATGGATTGTTTGAGTAGTGTAGGCAAAAAACAGACCGAATCTGTCAAACTCTTTCGCTTGAAGTGATCTAATCACCAGAAGGCTGTTTCACTCATTTAGCGGTCAGTTCGACTCAGCTCAAAAAGCTGAGTGGGTTCAAACTACCCGAATTACAGATAACTATATGGAATTGAATTAGTCACATACAAACTACGCAGTTCGAGGAGACAAAACGTGACAGTTTCCTTCGTAAACTTAAATTATTCAGATCATAATGTGTGAACAGCCTGATACAATGAATGGTTATCAGGAAAACAAAAGAAATACCAATGCACATATGCCACTGGTTCATTGATGTGAGTAGTCGACAAACATTATTTATTTTTACTTATTTTTCTTGATTACAGCTTGATTCCACACCGCATTTTTGGTACAAGTATGGAATTTTCAGCATGGATATCGGTAGCCCAAATTTTGCAGGCCGACCATGGATATCGGGTGTGCGTCGGTAGGAGATCGAACCTCGGACCATGTGCATGGTCGGCGAGAGTCCTAACAACTGTGTCCCTCCGAACAGTAGTGCTCGCTTCAGATTTTGCAGCTGATAGATACCGACAGAAATTACTATTTTGTCTGTAATCCGCAAAAAAAGCACACACGCACACAAACACACAAAATATTGATCAGCAGAGCAAGAAACACTCTGCTAGTCCAGGAGAGAATTACTTACGGTCTCGGGACTATAAGACTGTTCACTTTCATGTTCCCATCCTCTTGCACCAACTGAACAAGCAATTGATCATGGTGAAAAGTAACCGGATATGAATGATCTTTTCTTTGTTTTATATTGAAGAATAATTTGTTTCGCTGGGATTCTTGGTGTACCAGTGAGTCAACTGTAAGGCGGGTTTCATTTGGACCTAAAATACTGAAGAAGTGAAAATCAGCGGTTATGCGAACGTACTTGCACAATAAGTAGAGAATAACCGAGGCTGCAGAAACCAGTGGATTAAGAGCTTACTGTTCTACCAGTTGGAATTTACGATAGGAATTCTGAGATGTGTTTTCGAATAAAATCCAATATTCGAGATCGAGATGAAATTTCTTTGAAAACCAAAAAATATTCAAACGTAATTATGGGATTTTGATCCAGTTTTATCATTTTACTAGTAGTTCGTTTACAATCTTTGTAACCGCCTTGAACGACTTCAGAGTGTAACAGTCTGACGTATGGAGATTCTACAGTATTCATTTGCAATAAACTTGATATCAACGGGATTTGTCCTGTATATACTACTTCACAATGTGTGAATTGGTATATTCCTGATGTATTTAATATTTTTCTGGTTTCATTCGTGGAATACAGCCAGTTCGGGATAACAGCTGTCGTAGTACTATTTCGGTGTGACATTTAATGCTGGCTGGATAATTATGAGCTTATGTGCTCTTTTTAAATAACCTGGACATAATAGAAACATTCACATGCTTGTAAATCTATCAGCTTCCTTGAAAAATGGTGTCTACTCAGGCCTTATATTTCCATGTTCGTCTAACCTACCAAGCTTCAAGCGGGGAAAACAGTAGACAAACCTAGAAAACATAGTAGTGGAAACAGTAAAGCAAATAGCAATATCTATTTGCGTTTTTTCTAAGATTTCTAATTAAAGGTTCAGGCTAGGTTACTGACTGCAGTCGGAACAACCAAATTCTCAAATGATAGGGGAGACTTAATACTCAGAAGGATAGGTTTTGTTGCAGATAAGCCCTCTAACTCGGTTGACTTAATTGTCAAGCTTGCAGTTCCCTTCCAGACAAAATTTAATACATCTATCCTCAGAAAGGAAGTGAAGTTACGAAAAGAGATCCCTCCGCTGATCCACCTACGAGTGATTGATACACTCAGATAAGGTCAGTCAGAATTTGAAAAAGGTAGAATGAGACTTTAATTATAAGTCAGTGTTTGAATTTGATTCCTCTCAATATCAATTAGAACTAATACTTTTCATAATCAATTAATCAATCATTCAACAAATTTAATTTAAAATCATACCTTATTCAAACACTGTACTATTTATTTATTACCTGTTGGATGTTTGGCATAGATTTACTAAACTTGACGACTCAGTTTTCATAATTTGATACGATTAAAAACAGGCTTTCACGATTGTTCATTCAACTGACTAGTTCTGTTCATCAGATCTTATAAATCTCAGTGTCCATAGTCTCCATTTCTGTTTTCTAAATCAACATAATGTTTCTTTAGTCCGTATATATATTTTGCATGAGAAAGGAAACTTTCAAAACTAATAATTCTCAATCATATATTTGAAAAAAAATTAAGTAAATATTAATTACTCTCATAGACAAAAACTTTTTGCCTAGATAAAGTATGATAAATGGTGGACTTAGTAGTTATTGGTGAAAACATTTCTCTCTTCACTATGGTAACGTCACTGACCTTGACAGAATAATTATGAATCAATATGAAAGTTGACTAATTAATTAAATTCACTTGCAACTATGACAGCTTTTGTATTAAAGTACATCTTTTTCCGGCATATTTTTATTTATAATATCTGAATTTTCGATGATCTGGAGCTTAATTGATCGAATAAATTCAAGGCTGTTCAATTTCAACATCATCCTTTATGACGTATAGTTACTTTACTTTAACTAATGCTAAATCTATTAATAAAGTTAGTTCCCATATTTAAACAGTGAAGCGCCAGATTCAAATTACGCCAACAACGAAAAACAGTCGTTTGTGTGATATATCTTGAAAGTGAGCACAAATTCTGCAGGTACTTCTCAACAAGTCAATGAAGTAAAATAATGTAGCGACGTAGTTTAAAGGCAAATCGATAACAGTTTGGTTGAAACAAAATATCAGAAAACCTTGGAAAGCTGATCCTTTGATCTAAGAATAGGATTTGAGCACTGTGGAAGAGTATAACACCATTTAAGAATAATTTTACTTCATAAAACACACAATGATACAGCATTTTTTAGTTACTGATGATGTTTAGAGCACATGTTACGCCCGATAATCATATCAAGACGACAACATAAGTCTCAGATCTTATTTATATTACTCCCATTATTTACTATACTTCAATTTTATTGGTAATATTATAGGGAGATCCAGAGGTCTACGTAGGCTTTTCCAGATGAACACACATAGAAATAGACTTAATACAAGTAAGAAAATTGTATATAAAATATTTTATACTACTACAAAGTAGGCTGTAACAACTGTATAAATTAACACAGACGAATTTTTGGGTATATTATTATGAGTTAGAGAACATTTCGTGAACTCAGGAAATTCAGCTCCTTTTGAATAATCCTACAATATCTTACACAAAATTCGATAATTAAATCTCTCCAAAGAAGTGATATCAAGACATTCTGCCATAGCTAGAGAGCATTAACGATTAAAAATTCCAGCCAACGCTTTGCATCCCAAAGCAGTAAGTTAGACCTTTGTCTTTACTTCGGCACTCAGTCTCATCAAGAAAATCACTATAATCCTATTGTCTTTTCATCAGAACTTCCCTTTTGCTTTTTAAAATCCCTATTAGTGCTGCATGAGTTTCGTTGGTTCAGCAGTAGAATACTCACCAAATGTACATATGGTCAGGGGCTAAATCCCAGGCAGACGCACTCCTAAATCTCGCTTGGACTGTAAGTCCGGTTAACAGGGACTACTAGGTGTGACGCTGGTGAAAAATAAAACACTATTGTTTGAGTTCGTTCTTGGGCAGAGGAGGAAGTTCGGCATGTTGACATATAATTTGTATTGTTTCTTCCAATGGGATCTTTGTAAACAGTGAAAACAAGTCGAAGAACACCATAAATTTATCTGAGATGCTTAGATTCTCTAATTGTTTAACGAATTGGAAGGTGTCTTTCAGGCTGCAGACTGCTAATTTACCACGGATCGGTTTTAACATTTCTGCTAGCCACCTAGCTACTCTGTGATACGGCGAATTAATCATAGATAATATTGGTCTCATAGCGATGTCAGGCTTATGTCGTACAGGTAAGGCAATCTGGATCCCTTAGGCTTCAGTTCATTGTATATGTTGTTGTCAATCAACTTCTTCTTCAAAAGTTCTCTTAGCTTCTTTGTAATCTGTCTTTCCATCGATTCGGTTTGATCTTTCTTCGGTGGATCAGTTCAAAATGCTGATGAGTCATTCAGAACTGATTCCCCTTTTAGACATAATTATCTTTATCCATTATCACAACACCTGATCCTTTCTCAGGTTGGAGAATAACAATAGACTCATTCTTCATTGAGTTTCTTAATGCTTTCGACAAAACTGCAGATTTTTGATTCGGTGATATGATATATTGATTAGTAATGTCGACAAGTCGAGATTTAAACCAACATTGTTTTTCGTCATCCACTGGAATTCATTCAAACAGTTGATGGTATAAACCTTCGAACTGTTTCCCATTGGAAGAAACAATACAAATTATATGTCAACATGCCGAACTTCTTCCTCTGCCCAAGAACGAACTCAAACAATTTTCACTTATGTGCACCAAAGACGTACAGTTCCAGTTCAACAACACTCTGTACCACCAAATTGATGAAGTCGCCATGGGAAGCCCCCTGGGTCCGATTCTGGCAGAAATTTTTATGGGTAGTCTGGAACAAACAAGGTTGAATTCCGCAATCAGTCAGACCAACTTCTATACGAGGTATGTCGATGACACTTTCGTTATTTGTAATTCTTTTAATGATGCATCACAAGTACTAAAAGTCTTGAACAGCGCCCATCCTAATATTAAGTTTACAATGGAGTATGAAAAAGAGAAGTTCCATTTTCTTGACCTGGGTATCCAACGAGATATAGACGGCAAAATCATAAGATATATACACAGAAAAGGGACCTGGAGGGCGCTTTATCTTAACTTCAAAAACTCCTGCCCTATAAGTTACAAAAAAGGATTGGTGAGAACATTATTTGATCGTGTAAGGAAGCTGTGTTCAGAAGAAAAGATTGAGGAAGAGCTATCCATTGTGGAGAAATGCTTACGCGACAACGGTTACCCACAAAGGCTCATCGACAACTATGAGAGATGTCATGTTGAAAAAGTGAAAAGCAGCACAGCAGAGAAAAAGCCTATCTTTCTGCAGCTAGCATTCAAAGGTGATGATACTGCTAGTAGAATAAGATGTGGACTGAACGCTGCCCTGAAAAGAACATATCCAGCCGCCAAGCTTGTATGTGTTAATCAAACAACTAGTTGTTTGAGACAATCAAAAATGGACAAATACCCACCTCATCTTACCTCCAACTGTATCTACCAATTTACATGTACGTGCCAAAGCACATACATCGGAAGAACAGAGAGAAGGGTTATTGTCCGCATTTCTGAACACATACCAAAGAACCTGAGACTGAAAGGTCCACAAGCATTAAACAGTGCGATTGCGCGTCATCTATTAGACACTGGTTATATTGTAGACAACCTGAAGTCGTTCAAAATAATCAACAAGCAAAAGAAACCTAGCTTGCTACGCTTTGCTGAAGCAATTGCTATCAAACGACTTAAACCAAATCTATGTACGCAAAAAGAGACAGTGGTGAATCTTGCACTGCCGTGGTGATAACAAAATATCCAACTTTTATGAGTCACCTTTTTTCTTGTTTAGAAAACTCTACTCTCTCATCTAAACATGACTCACCCTACCTTGTTCTTTTCTCTTCTATTTTTCTATTGGCTATTAGATAAAACATTTTCTTTAGTTACGTAATCTATTTTTTTTTGTTATGCTCTTTCTAGCTAAACCTTGTTTTTATACACACATATATACGCAACTCCGTTTTTTGTTTCCAAGCCTAATTGTCTAATTATTCTATAAATAGTCAGTGTTTGTAACTTCTAATTAGTTAAATCATTCCGGACTAATGTTACTTTTACTTCCCATCAATTACTTACTGGTTGTGATCGTGGAAAAGTATGTTCAAATCTTCAGTGTAATTCCTGTATTTGTATCGTTCAGGTTGTAACCAGTTGAGAAGAATCCTCGAAATAATAAAAGATGAGTTCATATTATCCTGGTACAATTGTTGTTCTTACTTTGTTCAAGTGTATAATTTCGTTGAAAAGGAAACTTTTTTTTTGTCTACAACCCTATTTTGGATTTCTTACTATCTAATAACAGACTTCTATTCAGATACTTCTTATAATTTATTATATACGTTAAACATCGTTAACCTATCGCTAGGTATCAACATGTACTTTTCTTATGAAGTTCTCCGGACACCTGCTTTCTTGTAACATAAGCTTCAGTCTGTACATATCGTCTTATTTTATAGCTAAGATACTTAATTAAATTTCTTTTGTACTGAAGCAGTGTCAAACTACGGCAACTGATGCATTGATAAATCCAGGTTTCCTTTCTGAATAGATTTCTCTTCTAATATACATTCGTCTTCTTGGTGAGAAAGACACCTGAGAGGGATTTACTATTAAAATGTCTTCTTCCCTATGCGTGAGTCGAAGAGTTTGGCAAATATTATTGAAGTCTCTATCTCAAACGATGCAAGTGTCAACTACATAGCAATGATAACAGTAGCAATTATCAAACTAATAGTCTGAAAGTGGACCATTTCCAAGTTTCGTCATGCGTTTGAAGAGTTATTCCTCAACTTTTTTAAATGAGATTCCCTATTAGTTGTTCCATGTCACTTACTTATCATATATCTAGAGAACTTTCCCTCCATCTGAGTATTCAATATAACACACACTATAGTCTGTACCGAGTGTCTACTATTTCATCTCTGAAACGTCAACTACACTGCGATTCTTTGACACGTGGTGGAATTCAAGACACGCGTTTCTCCCCATTTCAAACTCATCATATGTATCCCAGTGAGTGATAATGTCCCCACAGACACTTAAATCCAGCACCCAACACATTTCAAATGACAAAGTATTACTCAATAGGCTAATGAACCATTTCTTATACACAGAAAGGAACGTTATGAGCTTCACTGCGAGCCGCGCATCCTATGGAGTTACATTAGCCTGACTTGCGACTGATCACTTTGGTCACAATTTGAAAAAATGCATTCAATTCTGTCAATGACGAGTTTATTTATGTTTCCCACCTGTGCCTTATGCACACAGACTATGATAACACTCATGGATTTGAATGTGAGAATTCAGGAGAAAGTTATTCAAAAGGAAACGTTTGACTTGCATATCCCCCGACCAATAACTGCTAAACTGACATGGTGTTTGGGTAATGATCTAGATAGCTACACTGACTATTCTCGAAGCTCCTACAACAGCACAAAGGTCGCTTACATTACGTTGGGGATCTGTGGGCGACTAGGGAAGTAACAGCAGTAAGGTGTTTCCGTCAGATGACCAGCGAGCCAGCTGTGCTTCCTTTGCGCTCTGGAGACGGAACCGGGGGGGGGGGGTTCGCAGAAGGTCAACCCCGAAAACTGCACATCCCGACTTACTCTGAAGCAGCCCGTAACCGATGATATGACCTTAATATGGACACAACTGCCAGATCCGCTAGAAACAGGCCGTATGTAGCTGGTATCCCCTGAGCTCTGCAGTTACGCAACACTAGTGCTCCTTCTGTTTCAAATACCCCGAAAAGAAGTCAACTTCTATGATGTGAGCAACCGGGAAGTAACAACAGCCTATACATTTCCATAAGCGCACAAAGCTGTCCTGAGCACCATCCTGAATATCTCTTGGTTTGCTTATGAATGTCAACCAAGGAGAAATAGACCACGTTAAGATGTAAAAAAACACACAGAAAGAATGGTGAATTTCATTTATATTCCAACGTATTTGAAAAATATCAAAGTATGCGATAGGATTTGTCATAGTAGTAGTTGTTGTTGTTGTTGTTATTCTGGTAACCAAACATATTTATAAGATCGAGAAGCAGTGGAATACGTCAATGAAGTATAATACGAAAGTATGTTTATGTCCGTAAATGTCTGCATCTCCAAAAAAATGAAAATGGAACAGTCCGAAAAAAATGACCAAAAGAACAAGTTGCAGGTTACATACAGAGTTAGTAAACATCACAATTACAAAGAATAAGTGTATACTTATACTTAGAGGTAGAATTGCTTTTTGCATATGCATGTCTATCTGTGAGTGTGCGTTGTGTGTGTGTGTGTATGTGTGTATCATCTGTGGTGTGTAGGCATAATATACATGATGTACACTGTTAGTTCAGCTATATTCAAATCCAGCATTGGCATTCAAAGCATACAACAAACGATCACGTAGTGTTTCGGCATTACGAAAATCTGGTAACCGTAGTAAATTCATGCAAGTACTAGCTGTCGGTAGTCGTTCCACTTCTTCTGTAATTTGAATTGAAAACGGTGGTTGAAGTTCACGAAAGCCAAACATTGGAGGCCGTGAACACGCTGTTACAAAACGCAGGAAAGAACGTTTATCCGCCTCTGAGAAGTTCTGTAGCACAGACCAAAAACTCTCCAATGTCTCATGATAAGTTGATGAATCTACAGAAAACAAAAAAATAAAAAATAAAGTGAACTTCAGGCGCATTCACAGAAATCATGTTGTGGTTAACTGTCGGTGAAGGACATCCCAGTAAGAGAGAAATCTGGGTCAAAGAGTAAGTGGTATTTCTTATACTTTAGTGTAGTTAATGCCAACTATGACTTCCCCCGATTGACGAAAGCAAACAGTTTTCCTATTATGACCTAAGACAATGGGGTCTAGGGTTTGAATGCCTCGTCGATTACTTCAGCTTGAGACACAAAAAGGTACGAGTCATGTATCCTCGAACATAACATAGGTGTGTCAGTAGTACTATTAAATTCAACTGACAGTTTAACCAGTAATCAAATAGCTTGGTAATATTGAATGACACTCAAACATGGCATTACATAGGCATTATCAAGTTGATGTTATCAGTCTCACCCGATATATCATCAGTGCTCTACAGTTAAACTGAAACTGTAATGTGATAAAGTAAAAAAACACATAATATAAAGATTTAAGCAGCGGAGGCTACATATCGGAGGACCTATATTACCGAGGGTTCCAAGCAGAACAGCACAACTCCAATTCACCCTGTTCTCTAAAGTCTTTTTAACCAACTCCACAATCGCCCCTAACCTTTATTTGCCCTTTCATGTCACCCGACGCAGTGTTTCCCACTCAAGTTTCACTCGACGGTCTGCCAGACATGAGTCATCACTCAACATGTACCTAATCCACCTTCATTTCCTTCGGTATATTTGTCGGTTGGGCAATAGGTTCCTAGTTGGTTTGTTCCCATAGTTTCCAGTTGCTTATCCCTTCTTGTCGGTGATCGGCTAGCGAAGGCAGTCTGACTGTTGATGAAAATTCTACTTTTTAGCGTATTGCAAATACTTTTCGTGATGAGGCAAGTCTCAGCAATTCGTATAGAAGAAGTGATTTGGGATTACTGTTGAAAATCTAAATCTTTTTTCCATATGCTAAGGTGTAGCACATTTCCGTACTGATCTCAGATTGATGCAGGGTCTGTCAGTTATTTTTTGATTCTGTCTGTGACATGGACATCCGTGTCAAACATTACCACCATATATCTTTTCTTTCAGTTTATCGCGTTTTTTTTTCTTAAAGAATTGATGATACTGCTAAACCACTATGTGTCATCGTGTAAACTTTCTACACAGATATGCTGTGTATCTGATACATAGCTAAGTCAAGTTGTCATGAATCGCTTCTTCAGAGTAGTCAATATCAATAGAATTATTATTATTATTTTGTATAGATATGAAAAGGCGAAGAGAGTCTAGGAAAACAACTTACAACAGATGATATAACCTCTTTCTCAGAGGAAATAAACAATGTGCAATATTCAAAACAAAAAAAAATAAAAACATACTTCCAATGTAGACTGTATTCTGTTTCAAGTCATTGACATCGATCACCATATCCGCTCCAGATATTAATGTTTGCAACTCCTCTGCATCAAAAAGTCGTAGCCAGTGAATTGGGATAACATCGTTCAAGCCAAGTGTGAAAGCTTTTACATGTGGATAGATCTAAGTTGAGTGAAAAGCAACGTGAAGTGATTAATTATCACACGCGACTACACACACACACACACACACATCAGCAAACAATGCGAAACAAATCCCGGGTAGTATGAAACCGCTTTACATATATATTAATGAGACTAAAGACAATAAACCAAGTTATTTAGAATTGCTGATACAGCCACCAAGCTTTGAGATAGTGACTTATCCTGTAAGAATATGCTTGAGTTTCATTGGGAAAAATTAGCCCAGGCAACCGACGATGCCTCCACATAATTTAACATTAATGAAACCAAGTCAGCTCATCAGCATGCATACATGAGTTAGGCATTTTGAGTGCAATGCCTATATAAGCAATTTCATTTCTTCTGAGCCAGTCATGAACTACTTAACAATAGCCAAATAATGTGTATATTAATCTCAACTATTCGGCGCCTGATTGAGGGAATACTGGGAAATGCCTCAGCGCTTGTTCGAGGATACTAAGAAGAAAAAGGGAATCAATTCAAAAAAAAAGTGGGACTGATGATTAAGTAGTAGTAGTTTATTCCAGAAATCCAACTGACCATTTTATTCAGTTTATAATTAGCCACTGAATGCACATATTCAACACGATTCGCCTCGGTAACTGGAATGTATTTTCCGCCAGGTTTAAGTTCTACAGTCTCAGACTGACCAAAAATTGAATGTACCACAGTGAAATCAAGCGATAAATCACGAACATTTCCTTGGTAATTTTTTAAGAATAACAACTGTCTACAAATGAAAAGTAAAATAACAGAAAAGATTAAACGAATATATAATACATAATAACAATATTAACAATAATAAACTGCGAGTATATGACCTTTGGTTGGTAAGCGATGGGGATCATTAGAACTGCAAAACTCAACGACTGAGAGTATTTCCACAACATGCTTAATCTCCTCGGATGTTTTAACCCAACTTCATTTTATTATTTTGTAAATCATTATAACCCTTCTCTATCTTAGGCATACACATCTTGGCTTTCAGCAGTTGGTGTGGAATAACTTGAATTGATATACACCTGTACAACACTCGACACTGGTGTTAGTCTAAGGCTTAATTGACATACATTAGTTCACTACACTGAACCCAAACAGTGCGATACAACACGCATAAAATCTAGAATATGCCACAAGTCCACATGCCCTTAGCAACTCAATCCAGAAAAAAATGATTTTAAATGCTTCGCAAGTGAAATATCATCGATTAATCAATAGCAAACGATAAACTACCTTCAGGATGCTATTATTATTATTATTGTTCCCTTGGGTTCCTAGTGGAACATAGGGCTTCAACTGCACGTCTCCACTTGCTTCTGTCTTCTGCTGTACTTTTCATCTCCATCCATGTTAGTCCATACTGTTTCAACTCTTCTTCTCACGATCTCCTCCATGTCACACTTGGATGTCCCACTCGCCGTTTCCCTTTCGGGGTGGCCTGACACACGATGTCACCCAGCGGCCTCCTCAGCGAGTGTCCAATCCATCTCCACTTTCTCCTGCATATTTGTTGAGCGATTGGTTCTTCTTTTGTTTCTTCCCACAGTTTCCTGTTGGTGATTCTTTCCGGCCATCTGATCTTGAGTATAGAGCGAAGACAGTTGTTGATAAAGGTCTGCAACAGGCTGTTGGAAATATTCTTTGTCACCCGCCAAGTTTCTGATCCATCCATATAGAAGAACTGACTCACTTGACGTTTGTATTGAAAATCCGAATTTTGTTGTTGATGCTGAGTGACGAAGATTTCCAGATTGGTTTCAGGTTGATGAATGTCTTTCTCGCCTTCCTGATTCTCGATTCAACTTCCTCATCCGTTCCTCCTGTAGTTGAGACAATGCTCCCTAGATAAGTGAATGAAGTAACCTCTTCCAAATCCCTCCCGTTGATGGTGATTGGCGCTGGATGTTGCTGCTGTTGTTGTAGTTGGTTGTAGTTATTTTCATAACCACCGTCTTGTCTATGTTCACCTGCAGTCCTGTCTTTGCTGCTTCTTCCACCAGTTTGTCGGTTTTCGCTTGTAAGTCTTCGAATTTGTGTGACATCAAACATAAATCATCCGCGAAATCCAGGTATTTTAGGTTCTTCATGTCGGTCCAGGATACGCCTGTCTTCTCGTTTCCCACTGTCTGACGCATAATCCAGTCCACCACAATTAGGAGTATCATTGGTGATAATAAGCACCTTTGTCTGACTCCTGTGTTTACTCCAGACGCCTCACACATTACAAAAGCATTCATGGAACTACGAATCATCATCTTCTTCTTCTTCACAGACCTAAATTTCCAGTGAAATATTCTTTATTATCAAGTTATATCATGCACAAAAACGGTGATTAAGTCATACAATTCTAATAAAACATCATAAAACTTTAACAACAAAAATCATCGAATGCAAAACGTGAATAATGTTAACAGATGACAAGGGTTCAGGGTGATCAAGAATGCTCTGACCCCGGGTGGAGGCTCACCATTGCACCTCGGTGGGTTGAAACTCGCGACGGACCCTAATCGGGTGCGTTCGGGCGTGTAGTTTTTGTCAGTGGGGAAGCCTCACGGTCCTCCCTTTATTAATGCTCAAAATTTCATTCTGTATCACAAGTACTGTTTTTGGAATAAAGTAAATCATTATTATTAAACAATGGAGATATGATGCAATCGAAAATGTTGAGTAGAATAAAATACCATTGACTGCTGGTCTTATATGCCCACTGATGCCTGTCATACACAAATCACTCTTCAAAAGCGTTGGTGTTTTGCACATCTCCCCCACCAAGCTAAGGCAGGATAAATTAGCAGACATAAAGGAAAAAAGTGGTGGACAGCAAAGGTACTGATTAGCTGCTTATGCACACAGGGGAAGTATTTGCAAACGCTTAAATTCTAGCCCAATCAACAGTGCAAACAATGCCTGCTAATAAAACAAAAGAAGCTGAGAATTAAAAACAAATAAAAAAACTTACTTGTACAACTGAGGATCAAGTGAATACAGATAGTCGAAGCCAACACCACCGCCACTTCGACTGATAACTTTTGCCAAAAAGAAATAAGCAAATTGTAATTCTACGAGCATGCCTTCATAAATTGCCTGAAAATCGAAACACACACACACTATTGCATAACACTGGGATTTTTAAAAATATTGTTACAATATGTGAATGAGTAATCGTAAATGTGTGAAATCTACACTGGTACAGAGGCATAAAATGGACTCACACAAAAAACTTGGAGGATCTGGACTTCGCCGATGATATATGTCTGATTTCCCACAAACTGGAAGATATGCAAGAGAAAAGCAACAAGTTGGCAGAAGTAGCATTCAGAGAAGATAGGACTTCAGGTGAACATAGAGAAAACAGAGGTGATGAAGATTCCTGGGCAACACCACCAGCAGCAACAACAACAACAACAGACAACAATCAGCATAAATGGGAGGAACCTGAAAGAAACAACCTATTTCACCCACCTACCTACCTTGGAAGCATCGTTTCAACTACAGGCGGAACTGACGAGGATATCAAAGCAAGAATCGGAAAAGCAAGACAAGCTTTCACTACTCTCAAGTCTGTGTGGAGGTCAACAACACTCAGAATCAAAAATAAGATCCGGATTTTCAAATCCAACGTGAAGTCATTGCTACTATACGGATCAGAGACTTGGTCAGCGCGTCATAAAGAGCATCTCAAACAAACTACAGACCTTCATCAACAGTTGTCTTCGCTCAATACTCAAGATCAGATGGCCGGCCAGGGTTGATAAGCAACAGAGATCTCTGGGAGCGAACCAACACAGCAGGAACCGATTGTGAAACAAATAGGCAGGAAGAAATGGAGGTGGATTGGATTGGCCATACTCTGAGGAAACCATCAAGTGAGTGACATCACTAGACAAGCCATTGCTCGAGTGGAACCTGAAAGGGAAGCGGTGAGTTGGTCGTCAGTGCAAGGGTGACTTGGAGGAGGTCATGTGAAGAGGAGATGAAAACGTGTGGGCAGACCTAGAGCCAGGTGAAGACTCTAGCAGAGAACCGAACGCAATGGAGACGCACGGCTGAAGCCCTATGTTCCTGTAGGAATTAAAGGAAACAATAACATAATATAATAATATACAGAGTTCAATTCAGTGGTTAGACACTATCCTTAAGGAGGTCTAAGTCATATGACTTAACAGACCCTGCATCAAAGAATTGTGATATTCCGATAGATGACAAACGTGAAACAACTGTTGTTCACTACTACACTGTGTGACGATTTGTGAATATTCACACACACACACATTCACACGTCTAATAGGCTGAAAGTATGAGATATGTAACTAAATCATTGAAAAGACATAGGATTATGCGTGAAATATGGAGTTGGACTCATTTATTCTAATGTGTTTGAATAACCCTAGGTATATAGGATATATGCCTTATACCTGCCCCGGCCATCTAATGTGTTCATCAAACAATCAGTCATTTGAACTTGTTCATTTGCTTGTTTAATATAGTATATAGATAGTTTCACGTGATGACCTCATTAATTATTCTAGTACCATTGGTTCTTTACATTCATTCACCTGACAGACAACGTCTAAATGTACTTTTCTTAGTGCTGTAATCATGAGTTTGCTTGTTGATGAGTGAATGGTAGAAACACTACTAATACTACTACTACTATTTCATTTCAGTTATTAGATTTCATCATTAAGCAAAACACCAGTGAGAAAGATCACTGAAAACCACAGAGTACTAGATAGCTGTTTCATCCTATTTTGAGCACTCTTCATCAGCGTATGTGCGGACGACCTTACTAAGGATTGAGCACCGGACCTTCGCGTTGCGAGAACAAGATAGCTGACCATCTGGTGACTTTGGTCAGAATTCAATGACCAACTTTGTCAACTCGTGAGATATAGCAATACCCTCTTCCTCACCAATGCCTTCGATCGATGACCACCAACTTCACTTTGACATGGTGGAACTCACTACACTCTTATTACTGTCTGCCTGTCTGATTTTCAGTGATTTTGATAATAAACTTTTTAATTCAATTACAGAACAGTAAGGATTATATATGGGTTCAGTCGAAGAGAAATTACCAAAGAGACTCTTACCTTTTTCCTACACGTCATCAAATAGGGATTTTCTATGTATTAGAAAAGTTAAATTATCAAATCAAATCAGCAGGTCGGATGTGAGAACAAATACGCGCCGAAGGCATTGGCTAGCGGTCAAGCTATGTCATGAATTGGCAGAAGTTAGAATTCATGCAGTGGCTATTGGATCGGGTCCCAGTGGCTTAATGGTCTACAAGATCGCCTTGTAACCAGAAGGTCCTGGATTTGAACCCTGGTGGATGCATACTGTTGAAGAGCCCGGAATTGGGGCGAAACAGTACTCCTAGGTTTTCCAATGGTTCTCTAACCGATGTCAGCTCATTATGAAATCCTGTAACCAATCAATCAAATACATACAAACCAATACTTGAATATCACATCAACTGTTTGAAGTTACGGTAGTCAGAGGATGATAATTCCCAAAGACAATTCGTAAAAATACAGTGAGCAAAAACAGTATGTATATGCCTTTCCGAACAGACAAACAAAAATACGAAATGTCAAATTCCTCTTATGCCTGAAATTGTCGTATTAATATTATATTGCATTAGTACTACTGGAAGAGTCAATGTAAAAAAACATTCATGGGTTAAGAGTAAAAATATAAATTGTTCGATTTTCTCTGAACTCTGGTATATAGTCACGGTGAACTTTTCTTCTCACACGACATGAAGACGAGAGTTTCCCGTATTCCAAACTGTCAAGGTTGCCACCACTAACAAGCAAATAACAAGAATGAAAGTGTACAAGTTTAGTAAGAAACCGCACAATTTCTCTTAGTCAACTTCATAAAAGAAGTTTGACAATTAAGTACTCTGAAAAAATAATAAGCAATAATGTTTTCCACTATGTCACACTGGGCTATCCTTTCCTTTTAATCTGTGTGACGTGAATATTGCCATGAAAACTTTATCAAAACTGATTAAATGTAACAACATATATAAAGCGTTTAATATTAATTAATTGCAGGCAAACTCACCTTAGCTAATATCCTTCCTAAAAAGTAATAATGTTTCAAGTAGTCCGGTGTGATAGCAGCTGCTTGTGGATTAGGATACAATGTCTTATCAGAAGCGTAAACAAAAAATCCTCTATTCGGGTCAAAGCCAGCTCGAATAATTTCAGTAAGGAATTCCCGTGATAAACCACCACCGTCAATACCGACTTCAGCTAGACCAATTTGATTGAGGAATCGAACTTTCAAGCGTGGACGTAAATCTGGTTCTAAGGTAGAAGACAATAAGAGATAGAGAGAGTAGTGAATATGTGGGTTGGGGGGTTAGTGTTAAGCAGAAAAACACTATTTAAATATGCATAATTAGTAACTTTATCTTGTTAATCATATTGACACGATGAATCGAAAGTCTGTTACGTGTTCTGTACACATATCCATATACACATACGTAGACTGGAGCTATGTGTATATTTGAAAATTTTATCAACTTACTTTGATCCTATCTTGTGATTTACAAAAATAATAAAGCAGAATAACTCCTAGACAGTAATAAACGAGTAGGCAGGCACTACTGTTTTAAATGCACCACGCTATTTATACTAAATTAAATTGTAGACATTTATACGATCAGTCTGGATTTTGATTATAGTAACAATATAAAATAACTATCGCGATTCTTGTTGTTCTTGTTTCATTCTGTGTGCAGGTTGGGCGTTCGAAGGTGACATGAAGGAGATCATATAAGGAAGAAATTGCAATCTTAGGAGTTATCGTGGAGCCATCCCAAAAGGACTTCAGAGAACACGGTGAAACGGACATGTGCCGTAGATAAAGTCTTTAGTTCCACACATGGAACCCAGGGGATTATAATAATAGTAGAGTGGAAAATACTACTTAATTTAGTAGTAAAACAGTCCAATAACCTACTAATCTTCAAAACACAAGGCTACACAACAGCACATCTCCACTTTGTCCCATTCTCCGCGATCCTCTTTCCTTGATCCACGACTCTCCATACTCTTTCATCCATTTCCTTCTCTCACGATCTTCTACACGCCACCCTTAGACGCTTCACTCATCGTTTCCCATTCGTGTTCCACTCGAGGGCCTGACTCGCAATATCACTCAACAGTTCCCTCAGAGTGTGTTCGATCCACCTCTATTCCCTTCGTCATATTTCTTAATTGGGCGATAGATTCTTGCTTCGTTCGTTCCCAGAGTTTCTTCTTGTTACTACTTTCCGACCATTTGATCTTCAATACGGAGTCAACGAAGGGGACGTCTCTTGATGGAAGTCTGCAACCTGTTTTTCGGGATGCATCAAGGTTCACGCCCCTATAGACGATCTGACTTAACCATTTTCTTCTTTATGCTGAGTGACAGCAGAAGATTTCCAAACTGGTTTCACAGTCATCAAGGTCTGTCTAATTGCTTTTCTCATTCTGTTTTTGACATCTTCATCCGTTCCATCTGTAGTTAGAAGGATACTGACTATAGATAAGAGAAGGAAGCGACCTCGTTTAAATTTCTTCCGTTGATATTAGTTATTGGTGCTTGTTGTTGTTGGTTGGTTATCTTCATCACCTCTGTATTCACTATGTTCACTTGCAGTTCTGTCTTGGCTACCTGCCGTTTGTTGGTTCCCACCTGTTCGATTGAACAAAGTCAACATCTTCTATAGCCTTCTTATTAGTCCAACGTATTTTCGGTTTGACTCCACTCAGATAGTCAAGTAAGTTCCGACCATCCGAATTCTGGTTAGCTACTTGAGCGAATTGGCAATATACTGAATCCAATTTGGAATTCACAAATTACATAGATTACGATTCAATGAAATTGTAAAATTAAAAACATACTGTCAGAGGTATTCATTGTCATAAACAGCAATGTCAAGGAAGACAAGAAGAAGAAGGACTTACCATTCTCTTTAGACAACTTTTCAAACGCATCTTCATATAAGTGTGTTCGACGGACGACAATAAATACTTCAGGTTGATTAAACGAATTGTACATTCGATCCAGGGGGCTTCGATTAGCATTACTATTGACAAGGACTTGAAATAGCTAACGTGATAAGAAAAGAAAAAACACCAACAACATAAACAGGACTGATAACAGAAAGTAGTCACAAAAACACCGACAGTAATAAATGATGGTACACTCATGAAACGCAAAGATGGGATTCACGTTTCTTCTCTCTCTCCCTCTCTGAGTTTAATAGATGATTAATGCATCAGTCGATAAACTATCTATCATTCATGGTGTCAGTTTTAGAATAAAACATCAAGGCTAGCAGGGACTTTTAATCCAACTTGACAATAAAAGCTCCGTTATTTTGACAGATAATAAAAGTTACATCAGATCCGCAGTTCACAGTTTATGCAATATGAGGTGAAATTTAACAACGGCTTTCGGCCAAGTATCACGATGCAGGAATGCGGACGCTCCAGTTACCTTGGACGCATACAGTCTTTTTGGATAATGAGACTTACCATCTGTTATAAAGGCCAATATGAACGTTGTTCATGAAGTGAGGTGCAAATTTCATCTTGATCTCGTTTTCAAGGGCTGTTTGGACAATGTGTTGATAGCTCGTTAGGGTTACGGTTAAGATTAGGGTTAGGATTAGGCTTGGAGTTGAGATTAGGGTTAAGGCGAAGAAATTTTATTGATTTATTTATTTTATTATCCGTAGTTTTCTGCTAAATGGTTGTCGACTCTCTTTTTGGAACCCATACTAATTCAATGGAGGGTTTTTGAGAAAGACTAAAACAAAGGATAAAAGCAATAAACAGGTCACAAGAAGAACTCATCTTCAGTCATCTCAATGAATACATGTACAAAATCTAGTCTAACTTAAAAACTGATACTCCTCATTACAACTGGGAGGTTTTTTAAGTCATATCAAGGAAAAATATCCCCTTCATAATGTATTTTCATGTGTATCTCTTGTAAATAAACGTCAGTTTTATGTAAGAAATCACTGGATTTCTAATTGGTCAACTCAAGGTCACGCGTGCATTCACGTTGTATACCACTCAGATCAACCAGTTAGTGCTGCTTGCTAACGAGACCAAAGTGATAGGAACACTGGACGGCCGTTTCGTTTATTTGCCGCCCAACTCTCATCAGCGATGTACGCGGTCTAACCCAGCTCAGAGAACCGAGTCATTTTTCAAACCATCTGAGTTCTGGCTTGTTACTTGGGTGAACTGGTAACAATATCGAACCAAAGTTGCAAATTACACAGTTCGAGGTGAAATATGATTGAAGAAACCAATGACAACAGATTGAGCAAGATAGAGTATGACATCGCTTTGCTTCGTCGGTTCTTTTCACCAGCGATAAGCAATCTAATACAACAACAAAGCGAGTAATACACAAATCCAGATTTCATCTATCTGGAAAACTCATGCTAACTCCGTATATTGTGTACATACAGACAGTGCGTAAAAGCTGAACTAAAACAGTTAGCATTTTAGTAACAGATAAGGGTTATATTCATGGCCGGAATAACAGCTATATCTAATTGAACTGATGCTGAATTTTCAACAAAGAACTTTGCAAGAAAAGCTCAGAAGTTTAAATTGCCAGGTAGAAAGAATATACAAAGAAACTAAAAGAAACGGTAACGCACTCGGGAAAGAATAGGACAAGAAAGACGATGAAGATTTAAATTATCTGGGAGACTGCACAGAGCAAATTGCATTTCAACCATTGACGAAGAAATTGAAAAGAATGACAAAACAACCTCCAGTCATTGGTGACCGTGAAGTAATCTGCAAACTACCTCAACACTGCGGAGTGCAGTAGCGCAAACATGTATAAACCTCATTGACCAGCTATGTGTTGATGACACATGGCAAGTAATTCACAACAGAAAGCTCAAGGAGGCGCTTGAAATGAAGTCAGGAAGGAGTAAGACAAGACTGTCTGCAACCACCGGTGATCTTCTTGCGACAGACAATGCGGGCAGAGAGATGAGAAGACAGTCATGAAAGTAGAAGTAAGGCATAAGCACGGACATTCAATGTGCACACCATGTCTCAGGCCTGCTAGCAAGGCTATATACATTTCACTAAATTTTACACGTAAACTGAAATCTGATAATTGTAAGGCATCATTAAAAACATCTAATACATGCTTATCAAAACACCAACAACTTACCTTGACTCGTTTTTCAAAGGGTATAACGAATGGAACTTCTTTCAACAATAACACCTGGCGTATTTCACGATTGGATAAAGCAAATGAACCTGATTCTGCTGAATTGAAAGGAAGAAAATATAAGTATTTTTTCTTCTTCTTACAAACTCAGTGTTATTTGACAGATTGTGTATTTCTCTACTCAACAGAAATGGTTGCTGAAAAAATGGAGGACACTGATTGACTAAGGGAATATCTCTCTCAAAAACACCTAGCAATTTACTGATCTATGCTGTCAACTTCCAATCCCAAACTCATAACATTCGTCTCCTTCTACTGCTAATACTACTACAACAGAGCAAGAAGAGTACCGTTAACACTAGGACAGAACAAGTTCAGTCCATTGCCAAGTGATCACTTTTACAAGGACTTTGTGATCTCCATAACATCCAGGAGACTGATGGGTTGCAATCTCCTGGTCGTCAATCAATTGACTTGGTGAACAAAAGATAACACTATAATAAAGGTTTTTGTATTTCCCAATGAATGAAAAACAAAACGGTATTGTTTTTACTGACGTTTCGCTATTTAATGCTAATAGCTTTATCAAAGTATTATAATAAAAGATAGCACTATCATGAAGAAAATTTGTAGTAGAGGTGGATGTCTTTTTTGGAGTTGTTATGAACTGAACCAATTTTTTTTCCTTCACGTTCCCCAGTGGAACATAGGGCTTGAAGTTTCTGTGGCAGTGTTTATTTTACAGGATGGGGTTGCTAGCCTCATGCCCAACGCCCAACCTTTCCTCTTCACCAGCATTATTTCTGGCTTAGCGAGGTAAAGGAGTGCGTCGGCCGGGGATCGAACCTCGAACCATGTGCATAGTAGGCGAGCGTCCTAACCGCTATGCCACCGACGCACCAAAAGAACCAATAGTACTTCGAATATGACTGAATATTTAGACAGTTAGTTAGTTCGTTAGCTGTCAAACCATGGAATATACATTCACAGTTTACATAAAAAAACGCAATATATGTGCGACTAGGTAAAATCACCAGTAAGTTTTCTGCAGGGTTGGTGATTTGTAGAGATCCATGGCTCGGCTTTTTAAATGCTCCAAGTACAATTGATATAAGTATAAAACTTGGGCACTGTGGTAGAGTATAACTCCATAATGGTTAAGATTTTATTTTGATAAATCACACAGTGTTGTACAGTTATATTAACTGATGACGTTTCGAGCACAAACTATTGCTCATAATCATATCATATGAGCAATAGTTTGTGCTCGAAACGTCATCAGTTAATATAACTGTACAACACTGTGTGATTTATCAAAATAAAATCTTAACCATTATGGAGTTATGCTCCAAGTAAAATTATGAAAAAGGATCCAATCCAATAGACTTGCTGCCATTTAAGAAATCGGAGATATACGCCAATCTGGTTCACCTGTGACTTCGTCGTAATGTTAGTCTAACAGTCAGAAGTGGGATTTCAAATGTTTTAGTGTTTGAAGTTTTGCTCTACACCTGAGGAACAACACGACGTCTCAGGCCGGAAGGATTGCATGTAATCACTATCTCTGTAGAATTTCCATGAGAGATATGTGTTTGGAAAAAGTGCAAATCGACATTCAGAACCATTTTGAGACCCTAGGCTCTTATATCTTTCACTGTTTGCTAGCCCTAATATCAATTGACAAAAGCGGAAGTGGTCAATCCACGATGTGACACTGTGAGAAGAATAGTTGTGTATTCAGCTACTGTCTGCTGGTAAATCACAATTTTCTGGACGGGTTCTGAGAAATCATGTAATCAAGTAGCTTCAGGCATTATCAATTATGGATCAGAATGGAAATCCACAACAACAAACACGCCATCACAGTACTTGAAAAACAGATTAAATACGGTGCATTATTATACGAAATTGTGGTAAGAGTTAACTTATCAGCTAATACGCTGATTAATGTAAACAACTTCTAGTTGTTATTGACGAATATCACCATGACAACAGGATATCAGGGAAAAATAAAATACTGTAGGGTAACAGCGAAGAAAATATAAAAATCCACTCTGCTTACCTTGATTTCGATCAGGATTGAGTATACTATAATAACCAAATGGTGCCCCGGCTAACGTGAGTGTAGTTTGATCACCTCTATTTACAAGCCATGATTGTGATGATATAGAGTTCAGCAGATCAACTTGATTATCTTTTAACCAGAAAGTCTGACTAACACTTGGTGTACCCAAGGGTAAACGTGGACGTGTTAAGTGTAGACCAGCTATTGAATCCGTGGAGACAGGGGAATTGGTAGTGGTCAGTGTATTTTTAGACTGGGTGGGAGGAGGTGTGGTTTGTAATAGGTATGCAGGTAAACTAATATCCTGCTGACGTCGACAACGACGATCCCAATCATAAATTTGAAATACCAGGAGTTGAACCCTACGAAACAGACTACTCCAACAATAAAGCAAGAGACGTAAATCTGGAACGGACTGGAAAAACAAAAACAGAAAATGTAGATTGTAAAGTGAAGTAAATACTGGTTAATACTAAGCACTAAATAATTAACTGTGTGTTTCTCTGTCTCAAATGTTCGGAGACAGGTTTTCTTCTTCCAGGTAGGGAAAAATCTATCAATGAAATCGTCATGCTTGGCGTGAACACAGAAGAAGAAGAAATCATCTTATCAATGAAGCACAACTTCTTTTATCGACCACAATTGGCCAAGACAACACTATGACTCAATCAAGCAAGACACTGTGATCTAGATCACTGAACCATAATTTTAAAAAGAACCACATGCATCATCATGATAATGTTATACATACATCTAAACACCAAATCCGAATAAGTTCATCAAAACATACCCATCCTGTATGATCTCGCAGAAGCAGATTGGCGGCACCAGGTGAACTGCCAAGCGCTGCAAACTCAGCACGTTGTTGTATCCTACGGAGAACAGCAGCATAATCCGGTTGTTCTGGTGAATCCATAGAATACGAATCTGTCTGTAGATTTTGCCGTGTCATTTTCGGCAACTGATCAGGATGCGCTAAATCAATTAAGCCAAGCATAAGATCTCTAAGCCTTGAACCAACGTGTAATAATTCCTCAGCACGAAAACCACAGCCTGATCTAAACAACCCGCTGGTTAATTCGTGATTCATCTCCAACGGTAGGACATCACAGATTTCAGTGTCTGTTAGGCATAACAGACGATGATGCAGGCAATCAGAAAATGTGAATATCAACGGCAGATAACTGTTCAAAAAGAAATAAAATAGTATCAAGTAAAATGAAGAAAAACTCCCAAAGTAAACAGATTACGAATAGGAACGATTAGTGTACTGACTGACTAAATCAGTTATTCAACCATGGGAAACTATAAGAAAAAAAGAAAGAAAAGTATCATTCCCCTCAAGAAACTCATCAAAATCTAAAAGATGCCTGTCCATAGCTAAGACTAATAATTACAAGGTGACAAGAAAACGTGAAGAAGAAGAAGAATCAATAAATCTGTATCAATTACTTGTTGCAGAAGAATCGTGTAAATGAATTCATTTCGAAAATAAGCTGCAAAACAGGGAAAGATTAATTTCCAATGAGAATGGGATTCTGATGAATTCTTTACTGTTTGTTGCCATGATTGGATGGCCAAATGACTAATTGGCTCACTGGATTACAACAGTATAGGACTTCGCACTCAACTGCAGTATTTCAATACCCAACTCTCCACGAAGCCCACGAAGGTAGAGAAAAGAAATTCAAAACAGCTGTGACGAGCAGAAATGTACGACAGAAAGAACAGTAACACAGAAAAACATATGAGGATTTAATGGATATGGGGTATTAGAAAGAGTGAATGAATCTCTTTCCTATTGAGAACAACTTTGGACCATATCAAGTCATTGGCTATTAGTTCAAAACATCCTGACTGGCTAAAACCAACTACCTGTCAAACTCTTCATGGACTGACTTCGTGTTTTCATCTGACCACCCCTGACACAATGAACATAATCTTATGTCGGCTAACACTTCACAGCGAAGAAGCCGACGGCCCAACATTTGTAACACGTGTCTTAGCCACCTTAATCGGTTCAAATTCGCAATCCCATAGATTAATTTTTCATTCTCACCCAGTATTCAACACGTCTAACTTCAATACACCAACTAACATGGGAGATAGGACGAAAACTTTTATGATCAAAGATGACTAACGTCTTCATATCCGCCATTTTCAAAGGTCGTAAAGAACGACAGAGAGAAATGCTGAGCAGTACACACATCATTTGATCGATACCCACATATTACTTTAACGCCGGAGATGCTGTAAGTTGGCGAATATCAGACGAGGCTTTTGTATCCGTTCTAAGACTTCCCCAGTAATCATCAGTCCATTAGAGATGATGCAAGTTCCCAAATAAGTGAGGTGGTCAACACGCTCAGTCACTTCACTCCATGTCTTTACACTAAACAGCAGCCATGTATTTAATAAGCAGATGAATGTTTCGACATTAACATTCAGTCCAGTCCTAACCAACTGTTAACTAACCACTAAAGATATATGCGTTTAGACCACATATACCATCTACAACAAACTTAAAGTCAACCAAACAGACAGATGGATCATGGAGATAAAAAGATCAATAATAAAAATAATTTTCTCCAAATTAGATGCACCATTAATTACGAATACAGTAGTCACTGTAACAGAAGTGCATCATAACAAGATCCATCTTAGTATCACAATAAACATGCATGTTCACTTGACATATGCCTCTTGTTCAGTAAGGTCACATGTTCAGTGAACAACAAACTGATATATTCTCCCAAGTAATAACTCACTAGCAATAGCGCATCAAAAATCCACTAAAAGGTTGAATTCAGAACGATTAGTTTGTGCCTCACCACCCACCCCTCCCTCTTGGAATTCTTACATTTTACACTTATTAACATTCAATAATAACACATTCTCTATAGCTGGTTTGTAAGGATCAGTTTTGTTTTTACGAGTTGATCATGGATTGATATGAGTTAGAGAACCATTGAAAACCAGGGAGTACTGGACAACTGTTTCATCCTAGTTTGAGAATCATCGGCAGCACGCACCCACTGCTAGAGTTAGAACCCAAGACCTTCCGGTTACAAGGCAAGCTTGTATACCATTCAGCCATTGGAACCCTATCCAATGGCCAGCCCATGAATTCTAACTTCTACCAATTCGTTATTTAGCGCGACCCCAAGCAGTATCGTTGGTCGGAATTCCATCCTCACACTTGACATTTGGATGGACCTCACTGGTCACGACAACTCACTAAAACTCCAGGAACTCCGTCCTGTAGCAAGTCACTAGCCGGCATCAGGTTAATTTTTGGCGTACTGCCGATGATTCTCAAACTAAGATGAGACAAGTGTTCAGTACTCCCTGGCTTTCAATGGTTCTCTTACTGATATCAATCCATGATCAACTCGTAAAAAAATAACAGATTCTCTAGTGAACTAGTTAGTCCCCGATCCATTTCATCTTATAAATCAAAGTTGACAATACACCTATGTTCAAAATTTATGAACGTATTGTTGTACAATTTCTACTAGAATTACACATGTTGACACCTATACTTGCTTTCAAGATGAAAAAGTATACAATAAAATGGAGAAAACCAAACACTGAATACACGATACGCCATAAGAATGCGTGAGTGAAGTTCAAAGTGGTAGAAAATTGTATGAAGTGAGGGGGGTGAATTAACTAAGACGTCAACAAAGATAGTGAGTATGAGAAGTGAATGGAACATAGTGGAACGATAAAAAACGGATGTACGACTACAATGAACCAAAAGGAAATTTCAATCCATAAGAATATGAATAACTTTTATGAAAGGCAAGATAAAGGGAAACAAGGCGATTCGAATAGATGAATACATAAATGATGTTTGCTAGGCGGTCGCTTGTATAACTTCTTCAACGCATATTCAAAGATTATTTATTAAGCAGTTATAGTGTTTTTCTGAAGTGCTACTTATAAAACAAACAAAATTGGATGTGTGCCTCAACATCAGCTTAAACATCAGACTTCCCCCATTGGATTCTCAGATCCAAAGCCTAAATCATCAACTTTGATATTGGTCAAGCACATGGCACCATACAATCTTAAATATCAAGGATGGCTAATAATCTGGATTGCAGTCATTGTGAGTATTAGACAATTGTTAGCTTCAACAAAGGTATACACAACCATTCACTCTGCCAAACTCAATATCCACCATCAATTTTGAATATTCCTCCAATCATTACTTGTTTCCTAGCTTCTTAACATTTTTTGCTGAAATTCTTCAAAGACTGGCATGAACCATTAATACATTTCTAACATATACAACCTTCTGAACACTGTGAACAAAGACTTAAATATGCTTCACATGCCTCCACTTGTTTGCATCGGCTGTACCAACTGTCTGGTGGTTCCTGATGAGATTTCAGGACGCGAAGGAAATGCACCGTTAGGTATTTACTACCATGTGAATCAACTTTGACCTCTGCACAGAGTATGAGCAATGAGCAGCAGTTTGACTAGCTCCTAGGTACATACGTGATAATTATATTTGTAAAATATTTGTAAACAAATATTGTGATAAAACTAGAAAACTTAATATACATAATAAAATTAAACGAAGAACTAACTAACTAACCTTTGCAGTTCAGCTAGGCGTGAAGGCAATTCACCTGACGATAAAACTGTCAAAAATGTACATGCTGAACTAGAATATTGTGATACAGTTGATACTTTGGTATTTTCAATCAATTTCCATAAAGAGCGTAGATAGACAGTATGTTGTGAATAAATGGAGTTAATGCTTGAAAACAACAATAAAATAAAGTGATAAAATGCGACAAAATTTAGAATTGATTTAATAAGCATTGAATATTTATACTACTACTACTGTGGCAAGTGCTACTGATAAGATTTATAAGTAGTATATATACATAGAGACGTTCATCGGGTATAAAAATATCAAATAGCGGGGAGATACATTTGATGTCAGAGAAGGCAAACAACACAGCGTCGTTGTGGAGATACATGGGAGACATGAAACGAACACAAAGAAACACAATATGAAGGAAAGCCAGAAGTACCACAACATGAAGATCTGCGCAAATTGTGCTTTGAAGATAAGGTGTACATAATTTGGCTATGTAGAGATACCGATTTCCGAATAAACATTCCCTTACCAAGTCTTTCGTCTTCTACCGTCTCACTACTATTACTACTACTATTAAGAGGTAATAATACGCATAAAATACTTATGAAGTGATTTTATTTGGGGCCCAAAACTCTGCTCAAACTAGCCCCAAATCTTATTCTTTCGTAAGGAAATTATTTCTATGGTTAAATCGTTAACTTAAACAAACAACTCTCAATCGATGGCTTTCGATGTCGAGTGCCGTTTTAACGACTACAGTCATCACAAATGGATAGTATAATCAAGCCACGCATTCATAGTCTGGTACATGTGAAATCTTTTCTGCTGGAGATAAGGGATTCCTAAACAATTAGAAAAGTCAATTGAGAAATCTTCTACAGTCGAATTGGCGACAAATGAAGGCGAGCATGCATCAAAGTTTATAGTAGCAGTGCTCGGCCGTTTATAACTGATCATATATCGATCAACCATGAAAGAGAAATACTAAAAGTCAATCTTAACGGGAAATGATCTGTTTATAAACGAATCATCCTTGAAAGCAAACAATATTCCTTGTTCAGACCTAATTTAAATTCAAGATGTCTGAATATTGTAATACGGAACCAAACAATACTTACTCCAATTGAATAGTGTTGACGCGCAAGCAGATTTGTTAACATACGTGCTTCTTCTCCTTCGAAAAATGCAGACACACGGCTTTGTACATCAATCAGCTGAGTATGCGCCTTTTAAGAGGTTAAGTGTGCAGCACATGCTATGCTTTCGCTTCCTACGAAAGAGCAATCAACAACTATACATCTTGATATGCGTTTAAACAAAATTGGAGGGAGAGGTGCCTCATGCCTACTGATCTTAGAAGCTTTCAAGTCTTGGTTTGCAAGAACTTGTTTGGCTGCAAGTTTGATAACGAGCTGATATCAGTTGGAAAATTGTCTCGTCCTAGTTTGAGACTCTGCATCGGTACGTACCCACTGGGGTTCAGACCCAAGAACTTATGATTACAAGGAAAGTTCGTAGACCATTCAGTTACTGCGTTCCAATGCTCACTGGCGACTGACCCCATATAGGAAGTTACGCGGAGTTCTAGTAGGAAGTCGTGACCAGCAACATTGGCGAAGTTAGATCAGAGAATAGCTTCCAGCCGATGACGTTGGTTGGCGGTTGGTAGAAGTTGGATCTCAAGGGCCTTTGGACAGGGTCCCAGTGGCTGGATGGTCTATGAACCGCCCTTGCAACCGGGAAGTCTTCAGTTCGAACTCCGGGGTGCATTCCGATGAGGAGTCCCAAACTATAACGAAACAGATGTCCAGCACTTACAGGTTTACCAATGGTTGTGTAACCGATGTCAGCCGGTGGTCAAACCTGATATTAAAAGCGACGACAACTTTAATATCGATATCTGCATTGTAAACTAAATCTTAACAAAATTCAGCGAGCATAAAGACTTTTTAAAAAAAAAACTACCCGTTTAGCTTGATCATTAAGGGAAGAAAATTAAGAGAGTAGTAGAACAGATCACCTTTTCACCTGTTTTCCATAATGTCTTTACTAAAAAGGAATGCCTCACTAAAACCATGGATAATAGACACTAAAGACACCTTAAAAGTAGCTCATTGACCGACATCATAAGAGTTATTCTCACACATAGGTAAAACAGTTAAAACCAGTTTTTACAACAACCAAAAACTATTGAACACGTGAATACTTGTGGTCTCAGATTTCTGAATACCACACAATACAGCATACGATGATACTCAGGTAAATAACGAAAACTGGGAACAAGTCTAGTGAAATTAATAGTAAAAGGCTTGTGACTTTGCACCGACTTTCTAAGAAGCAATATCCGTATAAGCAGAGATTTGAGTTATACACAGTGCACCCCAACTTATAACCCAACTATCAGCTAATTCGGGACAGTAAAAAAAGGACCGGTCATGATAATAAAATACATTGTTAGCCTACCGGATTAAAGAGGTTCTTGGCAGACCATACACCTGTGAAAGACAATAATGCAATTGAGCTGAACAACGAATCAATTCCAGTTCATTTGGATTATTCAAATCACTATTGAAATTGCTTAACGTGGATAGGGCACTGGCTGCCAACGCTGACAAATGCTGACTCAACGCTGTACATATTTCTGTTAGTTGACTAGCCTGCAGAAGACAGAGGGTGAAGAAAGCAATATATATATATATATATATATGTATATATATAACAGTTATAAGAGCTACAGTTTAACGACGTGACACATCTATCCTATAATTTTCTGAACTTATCACTGACTTACAATTTCCGCTGTGTTATGCACCGAAATCAAGTGTAAATTAAGAGTATAACATTTAAGAAGTATTGATCATTGGAACAGTTGGGCCGTACAGAGACACATGTTGACAAACTTAACAAAAGCACTAATCTCAGAAAGCTAGACGAACAAATGTATACTGAATGGTAATAGTGCCACCAATAGTGGTTGCAACTTGGCAGAACCATTTACATAAGATTGTAATGGTAGAGCATATTAGTACTTGGTAAAAGAAATGTTAATCGGCAACTCGATGCACTGATTTGGCTAAAATATATTGAAAGCATAATCTACAAACGTCCTGCGTCTTGTGCTTCTTTTATCGTCTTTTCTTGCTTTCTAAGTTGTTTCGCAAGCATTGTTCATGTCTTCGCTTCGCCATTAAATCCATCCCTCCGTTATTCGACATTCTTGAAGATATATATATGTTTGTATACTACTCGCAAATCTTGTTAGTAGTACACGGCACAGGGTCTGTCTGTGTGTTTTCGACATAGAACTTTGCACTGATGTGCGGCAGTTCAAGTCGCCACACTCCATGGAGCCCACAAAGCAAGAGAAGAAGGTAGGAGAAATGCATATTAGAGACAGTAAACAGAAGTGTGAGATAAAGGAATAGTAATAACGAAGAACAAAACAGTTTAATTGGAAATCATAAGTCACCAGGAGTGGGTCATCTAAGTCACTGAGAACGATTTTGAGCCATGTCACCAATTTTTTCCAACCATTGGTTTTTACCGTCCCGAGGACCCCAACCAGGAAGTCTACACCTTCCTAAGTGGCTTAGACTAACTGTTGTAGATTTCATTGACTGGTGCCATGTTTCCGTTTGACCACCGCTAGCTTTTTTCCAGCCTGACCCTATATCAGCTAACATTGCCCATTGTCGATGAAGGCGATGACTAGGCATACGTAACACATGTCCTGACCATCTCAGCCGATGTAATTTCACAGCCTCGTCGATTGATTTTCCCTCCTTCCCTAGCACTCGACGCCTAACCTCAATATTGCTCACCTTATTATACCACTTCACACGGGAGATAGAACGCAGACACCAATGATCAGGGTAAACAGCTACACAGTCGGCTTTAATAATAATACTCGTGGACGCTGTTTACAGCCTACACCTAATCAGGTAATGATTCCCAACTGTACACAACTTCACTGAATGAGTTAGTCGCCTATTTAATCTAACTTCACCGCCAGCAGCAAGACACAAAACTACTGTCCGGCTCAGTGAAGAACTAATGTGTGTGGAAGAGTTACTGACACACTCGAAAAACAAAAACTTGCGCATAACTTACAGGCCACTTGAAAAAATCAATGCTTACTTCTTGGTGCCTTTTTTTCGATAAATGCAACAAAACATTTGTTGATATAATCTTGTACTGCTGACTGACTGTGACACGAAAATAAATACAGGTATAAGGAGACTGTACTCATAGAGTTTACACAACCTTTCCCCTGCAGCACACTTTAGATCTACTAGATCTACTACAGTAATCACAATTATCATTATATTATGTACATGCATGCTATATTGTTTGGATATTTTAAACTGCTTATGGAAACGCCAAATAAGACGATTGCTGAGATATCTGATAAATCACAGACAATCTCGGTGAAGACGTCAGTCATTAGTATTTAACTCAAGTGCTGATTCTCCATGAGGCTGATAGAATACATATTACACGAATGGAAAATTTTTTATGAGTTCAGGTGATCTATCCCTAAAAAATGTAAACCACTTTCCTGACAAATACACATTGTAGCAAGACAAATACGGGAACGAAGCTATACAATACTTCAACTTCATAAAAAGTTACTGAAGTATAAGGGGGGTATAAGTAAATGGGAGTGTTTTGAAACCTGATCAGGTATGAAACCCTGAACAAAACATATCTTACTTACTAAATATGCTTATGATTATTCACTAAACAAAAGCTTAAACATAAACTCACCCAAGCCGGTCGAAAGGACATCGATCCAGAATTAACACTACGATCATGACTTTTAGCTGAATCTGTTGTTCCGTTCCCTTTAGGCTTGACCTCATCACTGTCATCTTCATCTTCTGAAAAGTCCTCCTCCTTTCCCATTCCAAGTTGTAATGGCTTAGGACTTGTAATAGGTCGAATTATAGGCAGATATGGTTCTGATAGAGAATGCATAAGCATCCAAGCAAGACAACGAATTGTTACGGCAGCTTCTGCAGGTGATCCAGACCATACTGGGTGTGAATGCGTACTGGTGTTCATCAATACAGGTAGAGATTCTTCACCACCTTCTCCACTTTCATCTTCTACTTCACAGTCATTTGTTTCTTGATTCAATATTGGAATATCTGTGGATGAATTTGCACCACCAGTCGCACTTGTTGAGTCAGATGTAATTAACATACCAGGAATAACGACGGTCAGCAGGAGATGTAACAAATCTGGAATAAACAAGCAAGCAGCTTAGATACTTGCCACATATTTTGGTATATTATCGAGAAATGGAGTCTAGAATGAGGCCTAGATTTTTAAAAAAATTTGAGTGTAAGTTCTCCTTTTTATGGTTATAGCTGAACAAGACCAGTTGACTGAAGATACGGTTTTACAGACTATGCAAAAACCGATTACTATGATATGTTAGGTTGCTGTCAATAGTCATTCATTGAGGTCCATGTGAAGCTTCAAGGTTTTCAAGTTTCATCATCGGTTGTGTTGTTTGTTTTCAGCATGCAAGGGCTACTAGTCTAACGCTCAAGTCTTCTACCTTTAGCCTACTATACCAGGCGACTCCAGGAATCGAACCCGGACCTCCGGAGAAGTAGTTTCTCAAATTGACGAAAGAATACACAATACTAATGCAAGACTATATTTTCCTTTCGAGCATCGGTCGGTCGGTCGGTTTTCGACATAGAACTTTGCACATATGTGCGGCAGTTCAAGTCGCCACACTCCATGTAGCACACAAAGCAAGAGAAGAAAGTAGAAGAAACGCATAATATAGACAGTAAACAGAGGTGTGAGACAAAGGAATAGTAATAACGAAGAACAAAACAGTTTAATTGGAAATCATAAGTCACAAGGAGTGGATGCATCTGCGCCACTGAGAACGATTTTGAGCCATGTCACCAATCGTTTCCAACCATTGGTTTTTACCGTCCCGAGGACCCCAACCAGGAAGTCTACACCTTCCTAAGTGGCTTAGACTAACTGTTGTGGATTTCATTGACTGGTGCCTTTCGACCATAGAATAAAAACTATTAGGTCATGTACCTAAAAGTAACCAAATCAAGAAAGCAGGAAGAGTTAAGTCAACCTTGCTTAAGAAGGTTATATTCATCAAATAGTCATGTGGTGAAACTGTACAGATAGTTACAACTATTCCCTTTCCACTTATTCTAATAAATGAATTAAGGCAAACACTTTCAAAGATTTTAATTGAAAATATGTGTCAGCTGACTGATCAAAGTCAGCAATGATTAGAATGTTAATGATGATGAGTACGGCGAAACAGTACTCAGTAAGTAATATGAAGGCGTTCTTTAGTCAGTCTACTAACCTGTGGAGAACTAGAAATTAGTATGCAATAAAATGTATTATTAATATTGCTTTTACGTCGTTAATACTGACAGTAATTAATAAAATTTATAATAATAAGCATCGATGGTTCAGTGGTAGAATGCTCGTCAACTATAGACATGGTCTAGAGTTTGCCTCCTAAACTTCGCCTTAACCATATTCAACCCATGAAAGACGGAAGGTTGAAGACGAGACCAACAAATTCACTCCATAAAATAACGACATCACCACTGCTGAAACTTTCTCAAGCTACGGCTCTGCAAGAACTGGAGTGGAATAATGCTCTTGTCTACACTCACGCCAAGTAAAATACTAAGTTGCATCATCCTGGAGAGAATAAAACATGCATTGGATACAGAACTCCGCCCAACCGAAACAAACTGGATCCAGGATAAGCAAATCATGTGCTGACCAAATTGCAACTCTACGTGTCATCATTACAGAACAAAGTATTGAATGGAAATCAAACCTCTACCTCAACTTCCTTCATTGACTTTGGAAAGGCCTTCGACATCGTTGACCGAGAAGTAATTTGGAAACCACTTCAACAATACGGCCTACCTCAAGTCTTTATCAACCTCATTCAACAGCTGGCTGTATGAAAATACATGTCAGGTGATGCACAACGGGAAACTCAACGAGGCGGTCGAAGTGAATAGGAAGGTTAGAAAGGACTGTCTATTGTCACCGATGATATTCTTAATTGTAGTGGACTGGATTATGCGTCAGGCTGTGGGAGGGGGCGATGAGACAGGAGTACGACAGACCACCGATGAGAAGACTCTACGGGCTAAAACCAACAAACTGGCTGAAGAGCCTGGCAGTGAAGACAGTACTCCCGGCGAGCATTAAGAAGACGGAGGGGATGAAAACAACTGACCAACAGCAACAACAAACAGCACCAATCAGCGGCATCAGTGGGAGAGATTCGACAGAGGTTATTTCCTTCACTTATCCAGGAAGCACGGTTTTATCTACAGGGGGAATGAATAAAGACGCCTAAGGCAAAATCGGAAAGGCGAGATATGCCTTTATCAACCTGAAATCAGTTTAGAAATCTTCTTCACTAACTCAGCATAAAGAATATTCGGATTTTCAACACAAATGTGAAGTCATTTCTTCCATACGGATCAGAAACTTGGACAGCGTGTCACGAAAAGGATTTCCAACAAGTTACAGACTTTTATTAACAGCTGTCTTCCCTGGTTCCATACTGAATATCAAGTGGCCGGCTAGAAAGGATTAGCAACAAGAAACTCAGGTAACAAAGCAACCAAGAGCTGATTGCTCAACATATATGTAGGAGAAAGTGGAGATGGATTGTGCATACGTTCAGGAGGCCGTCGAACGACATCGCGCGCAAGACTCATAAGTGCAATCCCGACGGGAAGCGACGAATCGGTCTTCCTAGGTTGAAATGGGGAAGACCAGGCGAGGAGATGAGAGATTATGGGAAATGGTGGACCCATCTAAAGAAGACAGCGGAAAATGGGACAAACTGGAGATATGGTATTTAAGCCCTATGTTCCACCCACGAGAATTATAATAACATTACACTAATAAAACTTCAGAACTCAAGACTGAAGTTCCACTCGGAACTCAAAGGAATGAAAATAATAATAATAATAATAGTAATAACAATAGTAACACACTTACTAATCGAAGGAACTAGCGATATTGATGGATTATCCTCAGGTACCGATTGACTTTTGTTCTCTACAGCAGTTAAGCATTCACTAATAACGATCTGAGGTAAGCCGGGTAGTTTGAACAATTCTATGCCAACACCACGTACAATACGTTCACTAATTTTATATTGATCATTATCCGGATAAGATACAAGGATGTCATTCAAAGCCGCTACAACAAGTTCTTTGTATAAACCAATCACAGAATTCTATTGAGACAGAATTATTATAAAAATGAAAAGTGGAGAATGAATGAAAAGATGGCATGTAAAATATTTTAGGGAAACAAAAAGATGAAAACTGACGCTACATTTTTGTCGATTGTTCTTTTCTTAAACTTAAAATACGCCTAATCACATGGAGAGATCAACGAGAAAGAAACCTTAATTTTTCGCATACTTTAGGATTGGTAAACAATATACACCCTCAACTGATTGGAGCCAGTTAAGTCACATATGAAAAGGGTGGGAGAAGGCAAATCATAAGTGAGACTATTTCCGAGAAAAATAGCTCCTTAATTAGCTCTCAGGATAGACGCCTTGAACGCTGGAATGAACACTTTCAGGAAAAAGTTAACTTGCCTACAGCCACACTGAACCTCCCTGCCATCCAGCACACACCCGAATGGGGTATAGACACCGGTCCGCCGTCTGTAAGTGAGGTCACAAAAGCTATCTGTAATTTGAAACGAGGCAAAGCGGTAGGACCCGACAGAATTATTCCGGAGGTGTTTAAATATGGGGGTGACATACTAGTGTATAGTTTAACTAAGGAACTAGGTGACGTCCGAGAATCAGAGACGGTTCCATCAGACTGGGGTAAGTCAATTATCATACCTGTATTCAAGAAGGGAGACAAGTCCTCATGTGATAATCATAGGGGGATCAGCCTAACGAACATAGTTTCTAAAATCCTAGACTCAGTAATCATGCACAGACTAAGCAGAACTCGGGAGGAACAAACGAGGGAAAATCAAGCGGGCTTTAGGCCAGGTAGAGGGTGCATAGATCATATCTTCACTCTCCGACAGATCCTAGAACATAGACACACTTTTAGGCGTCCAACAATTGCCATATTTCTTGACTTGAAGGCGGCCTTCGACTCCGTGGATCGAAAGGTACTATGGCAATGTTTGACTATGAAGGGAGTGCCAATAAAGTGCATTGCACTAATCAAGGCACTCTACTCAAACTCACGTAGCCGTGTAAGGGCTTGTGGGGAACTGATAACAACCAGTGGTGTCCGTCAGGGATGTCCACTTTCCCCTTTTCTGTTTAACTTCATCATAGATATGCTAATGGAAGTATCCTTAACTGAACTTAACGACTTAGGAATCGACTTGTTACCAGGGAATAGTCTTACAAACTTAGAATATACATATGACATAGTCCTGTTAGGGGAGGATGCTGACAAAATACAGTCTTCTTAACACCTTGAGCAGCAATCTTCTTATGTTTGGCATGCGATTCGCCCCTGTGAAATGTAAGATGCTGCTACAGGACTGGACTACGTCAACTCCTAGCTTAAAGATAGGGAGTGAAGTGATAGAACATGTTGACCACTTCACCTATTTGGGAAGTTGTATCAGCACCAACGGACTGATTGGCGACGAAATCTCAGCACGGATCCAAAAAGCTCGAGCTGCTTTCGCTAAATTACATCATCTCTGGCGTAGGCGTGACATCCGACTATCAACCAAGGGACGTGTGTACTGCTCAGCAGTTCGCTCCGTCCTTCTCTATGGCTCTGAAACATGACCAATACGAGTTGAAGACAGGAAAGGGTTAACTGTTTTTGATCATAGATGTCTACGATCTCTTTCTCACGTTAGGTGGTATAATAAGGTAAGTAATGTTGACGTTAGGCTTTGAGTGTTGGGCAAAGACGGAAAATCAATCGAAGAGGCTATAAAGTTACATAGATTGAGATGGCTAGGTCACGTACTGCGTATGCCTAACCGTCGCCTCCCCCGACAGACGGGCATTACTAGCTGATATAGGTGCAGGTTGGAGAAGAGTAAGTGGTGACCAAACAAAAACATGGCCTCATCAATCCATGAAATCCTTGACAGTTAAACTGAGTCAGGTAGGGAGATGCAGACTTCCGGGTTGGGGCCCTCGGGACTCTAAGAATCAATGACTGAAGACAATAGGTGACATGGCTCAAAATCCTTGTCAATGGCTTACGCAGATGTATTCAGTCTCTGTAATCTTTCAAATTCCTTTCTACCATTACTCATTCTGTTTCACTCTTATACTTATCTAAATTCTATTGATTCTCTTCTCTCATTTTCCTGTCTACCTTTGTGTGCTATTTGGAACGTGGCAACTCGAACTGCTGCACTTCGGTGCCAAGTTCTATATTGAATCCAGACAGACAGAGACAGACACACATGAAAAATCTGAGGAGAGAATGGAGACAGGCTGATCAGTCATTGCCTTCCCGTTGAAGTTTGGTAATCAACCAGCGGAAATGATAAACATTAATGATTACAAGCAATCTGGATACATACACTAATCAACATAATACTAAGCAGAGGTGCAGAGGTCCTTCCAATTACTACGAACTGGTAGAAGTTAAGAACTATGCTTCATTGGATTTTGTTCCAATGGCTGAATAATCAACATGCTTGCTTGGTAACCTGGAGGTTGTTGGTTAGTACTGCTAACGAGTCACAAAATAAGATAGAACAGCTGTCTAATAAAATATAGTTCTTAATGTTTCTCAAACTTATGTCAGCTCAAAATCTAACTCGTGATCCAACATGATCCAATGTATCTCGTTAACTTGTCACACTCTTCAACTCAATTACGCTGAAAAGAACCTTCATGAGGCTCGTAATTTTATTTTTGTGAAAACTGAAGATGGTACGCAGTTGCACAGTCTGGAGAGGGATTTGAACTCGTGTCCTCCTAGCTAAAAATTGAAGGCAAAAGCAAACAAGCCAAATCTCCACAAAACGCTTCAAAAATAGCCCAGATATGATAAACAAGATTATTAATAAAATATGAAATTCATGAGAATGAAAAAATCAGTCGCCTGATGATCGACTTATAGAGCATGTTCACATCCTTAATATCTTCATCCACTATTATATGAAATATAACTATTTTATGGGAGTAAAGTTTATGACAAGAGACTCGTCATAGTCGGTTCAACAAACACAGAAATGTCAGATATTTTCCCAACTACAATACCATTTATTATTACTAATTCTCTAACTTCCAAGTGGAATATAGGGCCTTTTTAGCTGACCCCACAACTCCCCCATAGTCTTTCATCCATTTCCTCCTCTCACGATCTTCTACACGCCACCCTCAGACGCTCCACTCATCGTTTCCCATTCGTGTTCTACTCGAGGGCCTGACTCCCGGTATCACTCAACAGTTCCCTCAGAGTGTGTTCGATCCACCTATATTCCCTTCGTCATATTTCTCAATTGAGTGATAGATTCTTGCTTCGTTCGTTCCCACACTTTCTTCTTGTTACTACCTTCTGACCATTTGATCTTCAATACGGAGTCAACGAAGTGAACGGCTGTTGATGGAAGTCTGCAACCTGTTGCAAATGTTTTTCGGGATGCACCAAGCTTCACGCCCCTATAGACGATCTGACTGACTTAACATTGGTGTTGAAAATCACGATTTTGTTCTTTATGCTGAGTGACAGCAGAAGATTTCCAAACTGATTTCACAGTCATCAAGGTCTGTCTCACTGTCTTTCTCATTCTGTTTTTGACATCTTCATCCGTTCCACCTGTAGTTAGAAGGATACTGACTATAGATAAGAGAAGGAAGCGACCTCCTTCAAATTTCTTCCGTTGATAGTAGTTATTGGTGCTTGTTGTTGGTTGGTTATCTTCATCACCTCCGTCTTCTCTATGTTCACTTGAAGTCCCATCATTTTTTACTTTTTCTGCCAGTTTATTCGTTTTCGTCTGCAAGTCTTCCAGTTTGTGTGACACTTGACATAAATAATCAATGAAGTTCAAATCTAGACTCTTCCTTTTGGTCCAACGTATTCCTATCTTCTCGTACCCCATGCACACTATGTCGCGTGATCCCATTCGCCACAATTAGGAGTACCATCGGTGATAGTATGCAGTCGTGTCTTACTCCTATATTCCCATCAAAGGCTTCGCTGAGTTTTCCCCCTGTGGATCATTTGGCCCTGTTGAATGAGGTTGATAAAGACTTGGGGCACTGCGATCCATAGTTCTGAAGCAGTTTCTAAATTACTTCGCGGTCAGCGCTGTCGAAGACCTTCTTAGAATCGATTAAACTGAGGTAGAGATTTAACTGCTATTCTCTGCTCTGTTCGACGATGATGTGTAGCGTTGCAACTTGATCAAAACATGATAGAATTCTGTTTTACGAAGTACATTTGTAAACACTACTCGCTACTATCTATACCACTTCAAGTAATTAATGTAAATAAGTATGGACCAAGATAACAAAGATAGTAGTGGGAGTATCAATGAATACATTGTTCTACAGTTTTCAACTTTCTGTTAGCCTATACAAACTGACTACACAGCTACAAGCTCATAGCTGAAGGATAAAAACATTAACTGATGAAAGTGAAATGCTTACCGAAACTTTGGACAGGTGTGAAGCACACTGTATAGGCGCAATTAATAAATTAATGAAGGCACGACTTCTTTGTGGTTTTGAAAATTCCACTGAATCGAATACACGTGACTGTGTTGACAAGTCTTGAAGATACCCGTCTGTAGATTGCAACTGCTGATCCATAAAAAACGCCATTTTCTTAAAATAATGTTTCTTCGCCAAATAACGACAAATCCATGCCAGATTGGAGCATAATTGTTGCGGATGTAAGCATATTTTTGAAGAGGATTCCAAAGGGGTTGTAAATACCTCTTCTAATACACGTAATGGTAATGCGTAGTCAGCTGACTTAGTCAATGATGGAAGAGCTGGTAAATACCTATAGAGAAGTTCAATATCAAATATGAAGAACTTCCAATGGATGAGAAAGGCAAAACGTCAATCGACTTACAGTGAGAAGACAAGCACACCCAACAAATAAAACATAATTATGTATTATTGATTTGAGTTTAAAATGAAACAAAGAGGTTCGACAGGACATCTTCATTTTACTCTGTTCTCTGCAGTCGTTTTTACCGGGTTTCATGATTTCCTATAAGCTTTTATATCAACCTAATACGACTACTCCATGCCACGCTCGAACATCCAATACATCGTTTCCCATTAGCGTTCCACTCGAGGACCTGGAACATTAGCTATCTCATATCTCGTCTTGGGTACACGGACGGATACAAATAGACCCCAGTACAACTAGAACCGATCATCTGGATAGACGGACTGAACCGAATGATAAACATATATACATATATAACCTCGCCTCGTTTACTAGTTCGTTAGTTTTCTAGCCAGTCCTAAGCCTGGGAATAAAGGCAACGTTGGGCCTGGGGCTAGCGACCCCACCCCGAAAAATCAATCCAATCGCTACAGAAACTTCAAAGCACAATAAAACAACTTATTCTTTGCTGGACTAATGGAAGCCTTAGGGAAGCCAGTCAGATGATATGTCTTCTTTCGATGAAAGCAAGAATAAGAATGTGGACGTGGAATGACCGTTCAATGTATGTGATTGGGAAGGCTGCCCAAGCAGCCAACGAAATGCTAAGGTATGGCATAGAAGTTCTGGGTATCTGCGAAAGCAGATGGAATGGATGTGGATTATCCAAATTGTCAACTGGAGTCAGTAATACACTCCGGTTACCCAGACGACAACTACGAACATACTGAGGCAGTGAGTAGCTACCATGATGTCACCAATACCAGCCAAAGCTCTTATGCACTGGGAACCAATCTCCTCCAGGATTATGACAGCCTGATCCAAGTCAAAAGGAAGGAAGATTACAATCATCCAATACTGTGCACCTACAAACAACTCAGAACCGATGGAGAAGAAGGAAGATTTCTATGGACAACTGCAAACAGTAATGAACAGAACCCGAAATGGCGGCATCAAAATTCTAATGGGTGATATGAATACTAAACTATGAGCAGACAACACAGGAATACAGCTCATCATGAATGGAGAGGCTCTCGACGAAATGAATGAGAACGGAGAACTCTTCACAGACTTCTGTGCCTTAAATAATTTAGTGATTGGAGGCTGCGTGTACAAGCACAAGGATATACACAATGCAACATGCATTTAACCTGACGGATACAATAAAAAAAGAGATAGACTTCATCTCAATCTCAAGAAAGCGGAGAGGCAGGTTATTGCACAAAAAGTCGAGGAGAGTAGCAGATATGGGTTCAGACCACTATCTAGTTCAAGGAACCCTCAAAATCAATCTGAACTCCTTCAAAATAACTGGAGACAGACGACAATTTAACAAATCTTAACGCTCAGAAACTGAAAGACGAAACTACACAAGATACCTTCACTGCAGCCATCAGAGCGAAGTGGAACAGGCTACGTATCATCACTGAGGAAAACTATGTGAAAGAAAATTGGAACTCTCCGAAGGTGATTTTTAAGGAATCGTGTACAGCCGTTTTAAGAAGAAAGAATAGACAAGACAAGAATGGCGCTCTGTGGACACCTAGAAGAGAGGGTATGAGTGTAGTGAAATAGATGATGAACTAATGCCAAGATGAACAAGAGGAGAAGCTGAGTTCAGTGTACATCTCACTGAATAAAGAAGTGAAGAAGAGTGCTGGTAAAGACAAAAGACAATTCTATGACACACTGAAAAGTGAAGCCGAACAGGCAGGCCACAGGCAAAAGAGACCGCAGAACATTATGTCAGATAACGAGGGTTCTATCCAAGAAAAGAAAAAAGGGATCTAATTACCAATGAGAGACAAAGAAAACAATGGGCTGATCACTTCGAAGGATTCTTGAATTGACCGTTACCTGTAACTCCTCCAGAAACACCACCACATGCCACATGGCAAGCAATTCACAAAGGAAAACTCACTAAAGCCTTTGAAGTGAAGACATGAGTAGGGCGAGATTACCGCCTTGTATCACTGACAAGCAGTGCGGAGCGAAATGACTAGCATACACATTGCACCGAGAAAACACTTCAGAAGATCCGGACTTTGCGGATGATTTACGTCTAATGTCACACTAATTTGAAGATCTACAAGCGAAAACCAACTAGTGTTCAAAAGCAGCAGCGAAGGTGGCGCACTTCTAACTCTCTACCAACCTAATAGTATGGCGACTAACTTTAGAAGTCATCTTTCAACATGTTTAATATCTAGAAACTGCGTGCACACGATAGACTGAATGTTGCTGAAGTAAAGCTGAAAGATAAACCAATCTACTACATATTGGAATCTCCAAGTTTGGTGAACAGCAGCATAACACAGAGACTATCTAAATAACCATGAAAGATAAAGGTTGTGAGTCACAAAATAGTAATAAGAAGAAGAAATACAACTCTAAACACCGTAGATCCATACTTCAAATGAGTAATTTGACTGGTTGAAAATCAATTGTCTAACCTAAGGGATGTGACAATTGTTCAATGGGGTGAAAATCGACTTGAAAAGCAAATGAGCTTCACACACACACACAAACACACCTGATTTAGAAGTACTGAATATCAGAAATTCAGAGAATATCACTTAAGTGTTTTAATGACTAGGTTAATTCTTTGTAGGTAATCAGACTTTACGCAATCGAGTTACTATTATACTTAATCATCCACTACGATGCCATTCTATAGTTCACTGATAATAAAAATGGTTGGAAAACAGCTAAATCTTAGTACTAATAACGGTATATTACGTGAATGTACATCACGCGATAAAGAAACACACACACAAAAACTGGGAAAACTATCTTACTTGATTATCATTAACAAGGAATTGCTCAGAGTGAATATACAGTCAACTGAGGTGGCATTCATCAGCCAACTGATTTGCGCATCCTTGCCATCTTTTGATAGTAGTAGACGACAAACAGTGAACTGTCAAAACGAATGAAAGCATATAGCATTGAAAACCATCAGAACAAGTCTGAGATATATGAGTTTTAAAAAAAAAAGCAGCAGTTATGATAAACATAAGTGATTTTCAACTGGGAGTTGTGGTAAGGCTATTTATTTAGTTTTGAAAGCAAGTTGTAATGATCTTACAGTTTAGGTAGCTGTAGCAAAGGACTCGATGTTTTGCTGACTGTTGACTGCCAACAAGCCAAACCAAACAAGCATCAAGTTCATAACTTGATATGATTATGAGCAATAGTTTGTGCTCGAAACGTCATCAGTTAATATAACTGTACTACACTGTGTGATTTATCAAAATAAAATCTTAACCATTATGGAATTATACTCTACCACAGTGCCCAAGTTTTATACTCATCTCTAGCGTAGACGTCATGCGACAATCGATCTAACAACATGTGTACTGCTCAGCAGTTCGCTCCGTCGTTCTCTAGGGTTGTGAGACGTGGTCGTTGAAAGTGGGGGATATGAAGAGGCTAGCTATCTTTGAGCACATAAGTCTGAGTCCTGTCTCTCATATCAAGTGGTGTATTATGGTGAGTAATATTGGATTTAGGCGTAATGTCAGGTAACGAGGAAAATTCAATCTATGAGTTTGTGAAGAACTGATTGAGACGGCTAAGTCATATGTTATGCATACCGAGCCATTGTCTTCCTCGATAAGTAATGTTTAAGCTGAAATTGGATTTGATTGGTTAAGAGTTAGAGGTGGTCCGATGAAAACCTGGCATCAACCCATTAAGCCTTTGACGGTTGTTTTGAGTCATGCAGGGTGTCATAGACTGTCACTAAGGTCCTGTTCACAGTAAAAACTAACAGTTGGACATAACTGAAGAGATGGTTTACTTCTTGTGATCTTCTAGACACATTAAATCCTCATTATTCTACATGTGATTATTCCTTCTTTTGTACACATTTGTTTATCGTGAGTTCACTACATTTCTGTCGTCCTTCAGTGAAGTACGATTATTTGAATAGCTGTAACTTTGTAAAAAGTCTTACGCTGATAATTCATTTCATTTTAGTTTGACATGTACATATAGACTGGTAAATAAGTTTGAAGAAACAAGACACAGTGACTTGTAAACTTTAGATTGTTTCAGTTAGCACATGGTTTAGAGAAGAAGTCAGCTACTCAGGACATATTTTTCGTGTATCAGTTTATGAGCTTATGATACTGTGACGTTAATCAAGCTAAAGTAACTGAATAGGGATTGGCACCCTAGATAAAACAGCTTCCTGCTCCTGATTAATATTCAAAGGTTTGGCTCTTAGCTTCCCTTCTGTTTATATCACATTGGATTTTATTCTACGAGTTCAAAGATAACATAATTACGATAGCTGTAAAGTTATGCCGTTCCACGTCTGACAATTTTAAATTGTCACATTTTCTGATAGCTACTTATTATCAGAAAGAACTACTAACACTCTTAAGGGTACTTATATTGACATGACACTTAGGTTAGTACTGATTAACTCTTTAGACGGATAGAAAGACTTATGGGTGTAATCTTAATAACGTAAAACCAACAATAACAACTGTTTACGACAGTCGCCTTCAGATAACTATTTGCTGCTGGGCGCTAAAGCCTAACATAAGGAGAGGCATTGGCTCACATGGTCATCTCAATGCTGCATGTAGACGTCAGTTTTTATCAAACGGATACAGCAGATAACCACAATTTCTCCTGATGTTGTTTGGATGGTGACCGAATGCTGATCTATAATGACGTCTATAACCCTTGGACGACGGGAAATGGTTAAACAGGCACATTTTTATGAAAATGGCTCAATGACACAGATATTAAGACTTTAATCAGAAAAGCCTGAACATCATATCCAGTTTGCTGTAGGAAACAGTGATAAAAATTACTTCAGAGCTTTAAAACAACGGTCAGAAAATTGATTTTATTAAAAAGCAACATCAAGAAAGTAATATAATGTAATGTGCATGGTTAACTTACAAGTTGTTCAGTTTCTATATTTTTACGACAGCACATGTTGAAACACTGAAGCAAATGCAAAAGTGTAACTTCATATTCACGGCCGATAAGGCGAGCAGGCTGACTTTTTGTAGTATCCAACCGGCTAGCTAGTTCGTTGAACAACTGGAGACAATAGTTTCTCTGTTTGCGGGAAAAACAGTTAGTAATCAGCACTAATTATAACGACATGCTTGGAAAATAAATCAAAGCAAGAAGTAACATTCATCGTTTCAAATTGAACTGCATATGTATGCGAATAAAAGACAAATGGATCAACATGGAAGCTTTTACAACAGTGGATCATTTCATTACACTTCACTGAAATAGCATAAAAGGAGGATAAACAATGAATACGGGAGAGAAGAGGAGAGAATATCATGCGGATTACTAGGAGTGTTTACAATAATTACAGTAATAGAATGATACATAACTATTTAGTCACCGAAAAACCAACTTCAAATAACAAAGACAGTTCAGGGGAAATAAGAACAGAACTCGGGCATTATAGTAGAGTACAATCCCATTATAGAACAAATGTATTTGATATAGGCACACGGTGATAAAGCATTATTTACTAATGACACCTTGTTATGATTATGAGCAGTAAATTGTGCTCAAAACATCATTAGTAGCACTAGATGTAAAGGTTAGATACAACTCCCTTTAATTAACCTCAACCGCCAAGAATTGCAGTCCCAAGAAGAATGTCAAATTTTCAGTAAGATAACAGATAACTTACGATATCCGTGCAAGCAGATAGCAAAAACTTAATGCCACATTTAATAGAGGGCCGAATGTATAGGTATCTGAACGGTAAATTCCACATATCCACTGCCCTGACTGAGTCACGTCAAGGAAGTTAAAAGGCAATGACTTCATACATAATTGTCAAGCAAAATACAAATGTGTCCATTGACTATGAGATGGGTTTTATGGGTCGACATGGAATCATGTTATTTATTAATTTTAAACCATTGCATCCCGAGTGGAACATACGGCTTCAAGTTTGAGCCTCGAAGCTTCAGTAGCAGTGGTGTTTAATTTTTTCTCAACTTGATATGAAAGTTTGAAGGTGTGAATATAGATTACAAGTGGCTTTGAGACAAGATTACGTACGATTAGGTGGATCTGCTAGATTCACACCGAACGTTACACCTTTACTGTACTTACTCCCAGCTGAGAGAGGTTAAAGAGTGCATCGGCCGGAGATCAAACCAAGGACCACGTGAGTACAAGATGGGAATCACACCAGTGAACCATAAATCTCCAACGTTGACAATGACATATTTCATGCAAGCACAAGGTTACGGTACTGGTTAAATCTGGTTCTAGCCATTGATCCTTACCATCTCGAGGGGACCCAAATAGGCAGTCAGCACCTCCCCATGTGGCGATGCCAACTGTTCCAGTTTTCATGCACTGATACCAAGTGTTTGTTTGATCAACTTTAACCTTCAACTAACCTGATCTTATGTCAGTCAACATCGTCAAGGAAGACCATGGCTCGGCAGGCAAAACACGTGTCACAGAAATCTTAATCGTTGCAGCTTCACGGCCTGACGGATTGATTTAACCTCCTTACCTAACAATCGTTGCCTAACTTGAATATTGCTCACCATATACTATGTAACACGAGAGGATGAAGACAAACATCTGCTGTTTTACCGGTGCACTAATCCAACTTCTTTACTTTTTTTGTCCCCTTATCGATATTCACTATTTGTTTCCACTAATTATACTCATCTAATCAGTGTCTTCAGTCTCTCTTACCACTGACACCTTGGGTAGTCTCATGGAACACAATACCAAGTCTCATCAAGCCACGTTTCCAAATTCACACTAGGGCTTTCAACCTCTGAATCCTATAATGAATCAGATAGTAGGATTCACAAATCAAAACTCTGACTTCCCGGAGCACAGATATGCTTCATGTTCCTGAATGTAAACGAAACCCGAATATCATCATTCAATTAGCCTCACCTCATCAAAGTAATAAGTTTGTAAAGCCTATACTAAGGATATGAGGTTCTCGTTAACATTCAGTGAAAGGGTAGCATTAAGCTTTAGAGTAAGTTGCCCCACCAATTACTCTGTTTGAAACCATGTCATTCCAAACGACAGAAACCAATGGTCTCCCCTGAAGATGCCTAATGTCAGTAGTCTTAATCTCAATATTTCCAAAGTCACAGTAATTGTTGACTTGATGTCAGTAAAAAGAGCAAGAATACTGCCACAAGGACACTCACGAAACGCAGTCTTTTGGACAGTGCGAATCAAAACGCATCTACAGTATGAGCTTCTCCTGTCAAATGCAAGAGTGCAACAGTCTTGGAGGATAGTTTGAACATGAAGGATAAGGAGGATATACAGGGTAGTCAACGATCAGATCTCAAAAGAATAAAAAGGAGAGTTTGGAGTAGGACCAATGTATCAGGTTACAAATCCAATAGTATATACTGCGCAGTAATCCAACGTCTTGTTACAAAACTGAGAACAACTGTTGACTAGAAGTAGATATGAAAAGATGATAACTTTTTGGACATGCCTTTTTTTCGTACCACTGTTTGAGGAAGAGACAACCATAGGGTAAATAACAACAATCAGACATAAAGCGAACGGAAGGTTTACCAGTAGATGAAGTGGTAAATCACCATTAACTACACTGGTTGATATTGTGTTACCAGCTTCCCCGGTGAAACATAGGCTGACAAAGAGTTGAAAGTAATCAGATCAAACATTATGTTATCTATTTGTTTAAGCTCCACATAAACATACAGGAGACAAGGTAGCATAGGACTTATAAAAAGCGCAACATCCGAACATCATGTCGAAGCTGACCACTACCCTAGCAACCTTATTCTATCTACCGTAGATTTCCACCTAGATTAGTTTCACTACACTTGCTTTTTCTACTATTGTGTGTGTGCTTAGTGTGTCCAAAGTATGGCGATTTGGACTGCCTGACTAATTAAGAGGTGAAGAATAACCTACTTAATCCAGTGCGCGTCTGCCACCTTTGTATTACTGATGCCCAATCCAAAGAAACAGAGAAGATGGGGCTTCGTGTAGAAAAGAAAAATGTTCAACTCTCTCTCTGTTTATTTTCATGGCCTTAAGCCTCCAATATTTAACGAGATAATGACTAGTGTATTATCAAGCCTCTTGTGTTTCCTGAATCATTTTGTATAGATTTCCGATTTTAAAGCTTTAACGAATTAATTCAATCACCGAAAACAGTTTAATCAAGTTATAAGATACTTTCTCAAACTTAAAACAAGACAATTCAAAAATGAGACATAGACTCACTGCTTTTTGCCGAACAATGTATCCTCGTAGAAACCCTTGTATCTTGATAGCAGCATTTTCTTGTCTATGTAGGTTCTGATGTATGCAGACAAGGAGAAATAGTGAAGTAAAAGCCAAAAGTAAAACGTTATTATGGTTACAAAGAAACAAAACGAAAATCGCAATGGCAATATATATAATATGAAGAATAAGAAAGGTGAAATACATAACTGACGTCCTATATTGCTAGTTTCCATCTGTAAACACTCCATTCATCTGAATGCAGTTCTGACGAACAGAAATCTATCAAACAAGTTGACTATGCGCCATTTGAACTTTGTAAATAAAGGATACCAAATAATTTAGTGTCAATATGGCTTGATTGTTTTCAGAAAGACTTCACAGAAAGAAATAGAAGATATCTCGACAAAATCCTAAAGGACACAGAATGATGATGACATTCACATACAGGTACTACGTTATGAACTATAGCGACTGTGTTGGTTAATGATGCTACTGGATTTTCCGAAACCTCAACAAGAACAGTGTGGTTCATTCGTTGGCTGACGGCTGAGTGAGCAATTTAGGCAACAAGGCATATCCCCACTCTGAACTTGAGCTAAAAATTTAAACCAGCTGATACGGTGGTGGTCCCTCACTGACTGACTTGATGTGATGGGCAACATATTACAGATATTACATCCCCACATCTCAACACACTTTTAGTAAAGGTAGTTGTAAGTTGGAAATTATGAATCAAAATCAACCATAATATTGTAGATCAAATCACATTCATTTGCTTCAAAATATTAAACTTTTTCACGGCTCTCACACATTTTTTATCCTGAGTGGCTGACAAACCTTTACAATAATTCGCACAGGATACAAAAATTAAGAAAGCCATTAGGAGTGAGTACATTTGAGCTATTGTGAACGTTTTGAGGCAACACATTAGGAGTCCCCAAATATTGATTTCTAGCGTCCAAAGAATTCGCTTAAGTAACCTAAACGACTCTACTTTGCACACACTAACAGTTAGTGACTCCGTGGATTATTGCAACATTTGTTGTGGATAGAGTCCTTTACAACTGCAAAAATTGTCATATTTCTTGACCTAAAGGCGGTATTCGATTCCGTCGACAGAGAGATACTATGGCGATGTTTGGCTGTGAAGGGAACGCCGAGAAAATACATTGCAATAATCAAGGCACTCTACTCGAACTCATGCAGCCAGGTAAGAGCTTACGAAGAGTTGTCATCTGAAGTGGTGACAACAAGTGTTATCCGTCGGGGATGCCCATTGTCCCCATTTTTGTTTAATTTCATTATAGATGTATTAATGGACTTAACCGTAACTGACTTCAGAGACTCAAGGACTAACTTGTTACCAGGGAATAATAGTCTCGTTGACTTAGAATATGCAGGTGACATAGTCCTCCCTCCTAGGTGAAGACGCTGACAAAATCTAGCAGAGTCTTCTGAACACCTTGAGTAGCAGCAATCTCTGAATGTTAGGCATACGGTTCGCTTCTGTCAAATGTAATATGATGCTACAGGATTGAACTACATTGACTGTTAGTTTAAAGATAGGGGGTGATATGGCAGAGAGTGTTGACACTTCACTTATATGGGAGGTTTTTGCATCATCTAGTCCCAACGGGTTGATGGCTGACGAAATCTCAACACGGATACAGAAGGCTAGTTTCGCATATGCCAGTTAACGTCATCTCTAGGGTCGACGTGATATCCGGCTTCCTATCGACCAAAGGACGTGTGTACTGCTCAGCATTTCGCTCCGTCCTTCTTTATGCCTGTGAGACATGGCCATTGAAAGTGAAAGATACGAAAAAGCTAGCTGTCTTTGATCACAGGTGCCTGAGTTCTATCTCCCGTGTTGAATGGTATGATAAAGTGAGCAATACTGAGGTTAGGCGTCGAGTTCTAGGGAAGGAGGGAAAACCCATGGACGAGGCTGTAAAGTTACATCTATTGAGATAACGGTGTACATGTAAAACGCCGCCAAGGAACCTTTGTGGGCACATAGGATTCCGATTCGGCATTCGACATATAACCTTCGTCTGATTCTAATTAATCTACTCAGTCACACTTCTTACTAAATTAAAATATACACGGTACAGATTTATTATGATACTGAAGGATGAACACACTAACAGAGTTCTCAACCATATTTGTGGAGGACACAATACATCCAGAAAATAGTTCAGAAATTCAGCCTAACTTACTTCACGCAATCTACGCTCTTCACGAGTTTTTTGAACAATCGCTTCAGCCGACAGCTAAATAAACAGAAAAACATATAGATGAATAAATGGAAATCTTCATGATTATATTAAAACATAAAAAGACGGAAAAACTTCAAGAACAAGATTTCATCATGGTCTCACCATTGACAGTGGCGAAATATTGAAAATAACAACGGATACATACAACTTTACGGTTTAATTACACAATATGTATCCTGACAGCAATACTAATTCACTCTGTCACAAATATGTCTTGTTCATAGCCACACATAAACACTACACACATTGGTTGACGGAGTTCAATCGCAACTTCAGTTAGAGAAATGTGGTTAATGTTAGATGACAGTTAATATGACCATGTCCCACAACCCATCGAAGCTTGAAAGGATGACCAATAAACCCCTTTTCTGGACCAAAACATGCAAGGAATAATGCATACTTGGAAACCTTCTACCAACTCTATTTGCCCGTAACCCATTATGGGCTTGATTTAAGCACTCCACAGACAATGTCTCTCCTTGGATTTGAAATTAATGCTGGCCGAAAATCCCCAACGGCATATTGAAACACTGGTAACCATAACTAATTCTAACCATCTGGTGAATAACACATTATGAATCTACTCCATAAAATCTGAGAATAGTGCACTCTTATTGAAATGTTGAACTATAAAAGAACTTAGACAGTTTCAAGACAATACTTAAAAAGTCCTCATGCCTTCTTTGACCTACTTGGCTCACAAGAACAGATCTGGACGGTGCGTTTTACAAACTTTACATTATTGGCAAGAAGTAAAAGATGCACATGGATTAAGAAAGTGGATAGTGAAATATTACCTTGGTAGTGTGGTCCAAAACCAACGACCGCCTTGTTTTATAATTGCCCTCAAATGAATACATCTCACCAACCGTGATGCGTACTCTTGGCTTAAAAATTGCTATATAAGTGAGTTCGCATTCACATAAACTGAAGTTAAATGTATCATATCAGCGCCATTATTCTAGTAGTTCTGAAAAAGTAAAATGTATACACCAAAAGTCTTACTACATATTGACAACAACTTTAAAATACAATATCCTCAGACGTGAAGTTTGAATTTTAAGAATTCTGACACCGGAAAGGATTACAGAAACAAAATTTAAGTCAATTAGAGATATTTAGATATAAAGCTAAACAGCCACACTAAACTATTACGGGGGAAATGAAAATGATCTAGTCGTTGAACTTGATGACTTTAAAGGAAAATAATTATTGACCTCGACCTATTCGCAAAAGTAAGAATGACTAAATCTGAAAAGTTATAACTCAGTAGGAATAAAACAGAGTGAAATGTGTATGATATGGCATTTACTCACGCTTTTAATTAAAGAATGATCCACAGTTTACCGTCTAACAACCAGCTTACATTAATGATTATACATCGCAGTAAGCACAGATGTACTCACATTTAAACTCCTCTAAAGGTCATATATGTGTATATACCTTTGAATAGATGCGAAGTATGGTAAGTGTTCACGAACAGATTACTAGAAATTTATTTTCATCTAAATCTTATACGGAAGATGATCTGAAACAGATTATTAAATATTTAGAGGAACTATTGAATATGAACATTAATTAAACTGCATATTAATTTTTATGTGAAAGATAACTTTGTGTTCAGATAAAACACTAAATCCCTAGATGCTTTATTTCTATAGCAAGAAACTAAAATCCACAGACCAGTTCAATAAATCAATGGGCTTTGGGGAAGTCTAACTGCCCAAAACATCCCTAAGAGGAATACTACACACGATGAATAAAACTTTAGAACTCGAAAATAGGTTTCTGATTAACACTGAGCTCCAAAGAAATTGGTATCACGACGAAAACTTCCACACTTATCAATCTAGTTCTAGCGTGAGCATCAGTTGACTGTTCCCAGTACAAATAAGCAGAACTAGGAAAACACGTGTAGTGAAATACTTGCCTCACCCATATTTCACAATCATGTCACAGCAGCACGATGAGACAAAGTGTGATGCATTTTGGCAGTGAACAAATAACTTGTCGATACCAAATGTACTACCGGCTAGTCCTTTCCACTTATGCGATTGGCTTAACAATTTTAACCACCTGATACGAATACTGCAACAATACTCAGACATCAACACACGTAAAATAAATAAAGGCAATATATGAAATATCTTTCATATTCGCAAACAATGGCGAGAGCGAGACGTTAACAAAACTCATGGCTATTTGTATTAGTTCCCTCAATCACGTTCTGACGGTTCTTCAAGAAGAGAGCCAAAAATAGCATATCAGCTCTCCATCAAGTAAATACAATAACCCGAAGTCGATCTATCGAATTTTGCAAAACACTGTGTAAAAGCTACCGTATAAATATTTAACGCATGCATGTGTTATGCAGCACAATATACTTCTATAGTCGGTGCGGAATGCAGCGATAAATTCAGAACTATTACTACAGCTGAGCCAATAGGCCAGCTGTACTACTACAGCAACCATACTTACAGGGTGATACCCTAATTCAACAGATAACCAAATCCAGCTGACTACCTGATGAAGTTACAACCACTAACCGCCTTTCCAGTTGGCCTTGACAGGTGTTATAGACAAACGTTTGTGGCGGGAAAGATGGACTTGGGTTTCTGAAAACTTTAAGGAACTTGCTCCAGTCCAGAAGTCCCTACCATTCAATGCAATACTAAAAGGATCTGATACATCATCAAATCAAGACTCATATTCCAATGTCCAATAACCTTCATAACAGCTTGATTCCGGCTGGACTTATCCGGCATGTTGGTTGATTTTTCGCTCTGCAAATTTTTTTGTCAATAATTTTAAATAAAATTTTGTTAGATGTTTTCTGGATTGATAGGAATTCTCATTTCCTGGCTAGTTATGTTGGTGTCCGCGTCATGTAATCTGACTGCGACACACTTAGCATATTGGTTGTAATGATTAGTGTTTCATGCTGAATGCGTCAAAACATCTCTACAATGAAGAAGATGGGGTAGTTTGGGGGTAATGTCATCTACACAAATAGTTTATTTCTTGTAGAAGCTGTAGCTTTCGACATAGTGTCATACAATGAAGACTACGTCAAAATGTGGCTATTTTCGTGTGAAGAACAGTACTATTTTACAAAAGAATGCTATCAGTACATGGGAATCACCTATAAATGCCAACAGAACGTAAAACCAATGTGTAAACGAACGGCTACGGAATTGCAATACAACATAACCGACTAACATGGACGAAAATGACCTTTGAGCGTTTCACTCCACCAATGACCTTGAGCATGCGGGATAATTTCAGCCCTTGATTCCTGCTGGTGCAACAACACAAGAGTTATTCTTCTTGTCTATACGTCAGTGTTAATTATTTCCAGATATTAATTTGTGCTAGCTTGATTCAAATTGGAACAATAATAATAACATATTTATTCCTACCTATGCAGGACACACCAGTTTTACAGGCATGGGTAATTATCATTTAAATTACATAAATTTGGTTTTTGGTGAAATTACATGGATGCTGTCTTTTCGGTCTTTAGTTCGTGGGAGCAGTCTGCCAACTAGTCGGTGGCACAGCGGTTAGGACTCTCGACGACTATGCATATGGTCTGGGGTTCTATCCCCTCCAGGTGCTCGCCCGATATCAATGGTCGGCGTGCAAAATTTCGGCTACCGATATCCCATGCTGAAAATTCCATATTTGTACCAAAAATACTGCGTGGTTTCAAGCTATATTCAAAAAATATTGTCTTCGCACTAACAAAATAACCCAATAATGTGTTGGATAGATTACAAATACTTGGAAAAAAATAAAGCCTGAAGTCCTTTCTCCCATATATCTTTGCTATGTACGGCATTGGATTCTACTCGATGCAGAGTAACATCAGTCATTTTCACTCAGGTCTGCCTTACTGTGTAGGAGTCAGCCACCATCTGTCGCTGCATGGTATTCTGTACGAGTAAGTTGATTAACATGCAGAAAGCTATTCGTCAATCATTTAAGGTCGTGAATACTGCTTGTTATTCGGCGTCCTGGTAGGGTGACAGTGGGTTTTTCAAGGATGTTGAGTTATTACGAGCCAAAAGCTGAAGGATAATGTAGTATACATAAATAAGTGGCTTCAAGTCATGTTCAGCTTCAGGCTTTCTGTGAATCTGTGCGACCTCCACTACAAGGCGAGCAGGAGAGAAGAGGCGAGTAGAAAAGTACCAGAGAGGGAAGGAAATGTATGTGAACACGAATAGGACCTTAATGTTTTCATATAAATGTTGATATTCATTGTACATTGCCGTCTAGTAAACTGATATATTTATTTATGCTTAGTCATTTTATGCACCTGTGCCACTTGTCTGTTTATCGTTTATAGAGTAATTAGGATAGTTTCACGCATACTTTAGGCACTATAGTAATGTAGTTACTGATTCGTTCTAAAAGTAAATAGTTTGTAAATGTAATCAATAGAGTGGCTGTGAAGAAGTTTTCTAGGAGTGACGATATTAAGGCTTTTATTGTCACTGTGCAAGTCTGGTTACGTAGACTGTAGGAGCCTTCCGGTGAGAACTGCATGTCCTTATTGTCTGAAAATGATATTTTGTGTAGGTCCTTAAAGAAGAATACTAGTTTTGTAATAAGTCGTCTCGTCCAAAGTGGGTGGAGATATAGAGTCACACAATGTGAAATGTAGTCTTTCTTCAATCGTAGCCAAGTAGTTTGGACGTGAAATATCGTTGGATTATTTCCATCTCCAGCTTGTCACACATGCGAACGCCGCTAATAACAAATGGATAGTATTCAAGTAGTGGCCTCATACATGTTTTGTATGGAATGAGCTTGGCTTCGTTGTAGTGAAAGTTCCTGAGTATGCATCCTAAGGGCATCGTCGACTTTCGAGTGTGTGATGCCACTTGCTCAGAAAATTTTAGGTCACTAGAGTACCTCTGGCCTAAGTCAATGACATTTCGGAGTCTGGGTATGTCAGTAGGTTGGATCGTTAATTTTATGTCAATTGAGAGTGAGCCGAAGCAGATCCAACCACATTTGTCCACACTGAATTGTAAATTCCGTTAAGATGACCAAGCAGTCACTTTGTCTAATTCATTCTGCACAACATTCTGGGAGTACCTCAGGTCGTCACACTTGAATGTGTAAGCCACTTTCACTTCATTTCCAAAGATGACTGAGATCGGACGACAGGCCATAAAAAAATTCTTGAGGCATTCGAATTCAAATAACTGATTCGCCGTGAGAAACACTACTCTAATGAGGCGTCTAGGGCTGTTCAAAACTGAACGCAGCTTCAGTGACACCTGAGATCTCCCCAACTATCACAAGGGCAACAGAGGAACTGGGTCAGATACACATACACATCTAAAATATTTCACGTCCCGATTATGATGCATTGCTCCTTATGGAGAGATACAGTAAAATGGATAGCACTTCAAAAAAAGGCTAGGCATGGGTCATGCTCGGATAATCTCAGAACACTTGTACGTAGTGCTAATTCCATACGAAAATAGTCAACTGACATAAGAGTTTTCAGCCAACAACACAAATAAAAACTACATTGTGTGGGGAATATATGACCACTGAAAAAAGTAGTCGTCGACAAAATTGCCTAAAGTAAATACCAGAAGAGATCCGCATATGAGCACAATGGTAAATTATTTACACGTTACGAATAAGAAAGAAATATATTTACGGTATTACACAAAGAAAACAGAGGTGTCTGTCTGCGCCATATCCACTGACATTTGCGTATCTGATGGGCATGCTTTCGTACATCACTGCGTTGATGGAAGGCCCTCAATATTAAGGCCAACATTTCGTTTTGGTCTCGTGGTTGTCATTTTTAAGCTCTCTCCGAATTTTTAGATCATTTGCATGGAGAATCATTGGAGATTTACGCGAGACTAGAGTTTGGGGTAGCTGACAGAGGGCGAGTTACAGTCTCTTGTGGTACACCACGTTGCACCGTCATCCAGGAAGACAGTCGATCCTCCCTACTCATCTCCTAATGATCCAGAACTCTCTGATCCAAGGTAACTGGCTGCTTGTAATAGAAAAGCTATCAGGTTTCATAAGTGACTGAGTACCAGGCACCTTGTTAAATGCTTTGCTGAGACCTGTGAACACGACTTCGAAGAGTTTCCAGCTATCGTTGGATTTGGCTCAGCTTTGTCAAACGAGAAGGCCCTCCTCGAAAACCGTGATAGGCGTTGACTAATAAGTTCTCCAGAAAAGCCATGACATATTGCTCGATTGTTCCTTCCGGCAGCCTACTTCTGGTGTTAGCAAGCCTAGGAAGTTCGTGGTTTGATGGAAAGTCTCTAGATTCCTTCTTTTTTATACAGGAATTATTATTCCACTCATCTAGTCAGGCGATATCATTCCTTGCAACAAGGATGGCCTGGAATAGTGATCAGTGGACTGGTTATGTGGGGTGCCAGTTTCTTCAGAAGTCTTGGACGGAGATTATTTGATCGCATTGATTTCCTCGTATCCACTTTGTTTAGGGATAGAAATGCAACCTTTGGTTAGTGTCAATAGAACCTATGTCGTTTTCTTGTGACGCGCCGTGGGCCGGTGCCAAGAGTGTCGTCTAGTGTTGTTTAAAGACTATAGAGATGCAGGCTGCCTGTGTTTTGTCCTGCTCTCCTTCAATTGTATCTCTGTCACCATTCATACTGTGGGAAGGGGCACGTGAACTTCATGCATCCACCGTGATAGCAAACAAGGTTGATGTTTGTAGAAGTGTGAAGAATCGTCGTTGATATCAGCTCATTGGCATGCTAAACGAGTTATTAGGTTGGTAGATTCCTCCAGTTTATATTCACAGACTTTATTTACTCAGTATCGTTCTCACCTTTTCTCAATAGACTAATGAGATATTCGTGTCAATGACACCTATAGTCTTGTGTTGATTCACCTAAATTATACACAAGTAATTTTTTTGGTATTCCGTAGGGAGTGTGATCTTTTACGATCTCATAGATACTTTGGACTCGGGAAAGATTGGTCAGTGCAACTTCGTTAATTGAATCTAAAATTAACACGTGAAGTAAGTCTGGGAACAGTACCTACGTCAGAGATATGGAAAGTATTATTGTCACCGAAATCGAGAGACATGGAATCGCACAATTATCGGCAGTCTATTGGGATACAGGCACCTTATCTAGTGTCAACCACACCCCACATATGATGAGTGGAACTAAAAATATGCTAAATGTTCTTATTGTTACACAATTATGGGCTATTTTGATATACGAAAGTCAATGGAATGCACTGAAATAAGCGGATAAAGCATAAAACATAGCGTTCTTATTTGGACGTGAGTTACGTAATGTACACGATCAATTGCAACATCCACTACTTCCACCCAGAGAGGTTAACTGACGTAAATACACACCATAATGACTTCCACTGATGCTTGCTCCCTGCTAAATGGCCTAAACACTGACATGATCGGGTACACAACAACGTTCACCTGTCGTTTGGTTGATTAGATTTGCTTTCATGACTTCCTTCACTAATATCTGAAAACTCCCCTATAAGCGTCTGTTCAATAGAATTATGCACAAATATCTGGGAGCCAGATACTACCTGCAGGTAGTATTCGTCGTCTTTAAGGTCCTTGACATAATAACGTCAGACCTTAGAGACAGTTGCAACAT